CTTAGCAATGAAAAAACATTTCCATTCATAAAGTGAAGCAGTGATCAAATGTAAACAGTGTACAGTAGGAGAGACATGGTGCAAAGGGCATTGATGTGGAAGATTCAGAACATTGCAACAAAAACAAAAAAAATAGATATGGTACAAAATGCAGTAGAAAACATTTGAGTTGAGTTCTATTTGGTATGATGTTATCAGTGTGATGCAGAGTCCCGATTTGTGACTTTATTTAGAGTTTTCCCAACAGTTCAACAGTCAAAGATGTTGAACTGTATGTACACTACGCTAACAAATATCAACTAAATGCGAGTCAGTATTCAAAATATTTGTGTGCCTTACAAGAAACTCTTTTGAATAATGGCTCCAGGGAGTAATAATTATTTCAATACAAACCAGAAAGATGTTATAATGCTGTCACTACAACTTTGACCATTGTTCCAAAGGGTAGAGGAGGAGCAACGTCACAAGGAAAGAGAGCAGCTATCACTAAAATATTTATTTCCAAATCTTTGTTTTAAGGATGAGTTCCTTTGGAATTACTGAACAGATTTTTGAGTAATGTATAAAAACATTGTTGAACGCTTGTAATATCTCTGGAACAGTGAATTAGAAACTTGAAGGCTTACATTTCATTTTCGGTGAGTATTTTTGCCACTTTTTTGTCATATTCTTTCTTGTAATTAATTCATTTTTATGGTTGTGGAACATTTTACGCATTTTGGTGTCTGTTCCTAAAGCTGACAGAATAATAATGTAACAACTTTATTTCCTGACAAATTAGTCGATATAGTCTATGATTTATATATGGTGCTAAAATTTTAGCAGCAACTGTTTATTTTAAAACTCTAAATTACATTAACCTTAAAATTGGAGATTTTTGTTTACCATGTATATTATTTAGGTGTTTGTTAAAGAAAAGTCTTCCAACCCTTCCAATCTTTAATCATGGCCTATTATCAGACTGATGAAATTATGGTACTTTTACGAATCATATTCTCAACGTTTTAAGAAACTCAAAACTTGCCAAATGCATCATAAAGTTAAACTTGCTGACCAAACTTCAGACCGCCACTGGGGAGTAGCATAATGACTTGAAGGATCTTTTAATCATCAATAATCATGGAAAATAACTGAAGTATGAGAATTGAGACAATTAACGTACAACTGACACAATGATCCAAATATCTGAAATTGTTGCCCCTAACTCAACAATGAGTTCAGGGCATGCAAAATTCAGATAAAGCCCAATGCAAAATTAAGGCTTAAAAAGAGCAGGGAACAAGTAATGACGATAAGTCAAACAAGGTGGAAACAGGTGAAAGAATTTTATCAACTAACTGAAGAGTCTGTCTAAAGGACAAATTACTTAGACAATGGAAAGCAGGAAAAACTGCCCAGAACCTCCTCACACAAATACAGAAAGAAAGACTGAGACAGTGATGACACAACTAAAGGCACAAAGAAATGCACAAGAAAAAATACACCAGAAAATACATACAAAATATAAAACATAACATAGATGGCAAACTCCCAATTGCAAAAAGAACAGAATCAGACAAAAACTAAATAACAAAAAATCTAATCCATAATCTAACCTACAGCTCCTGACAATATGTCTCATAAACAAATATTGAGACAATAAAATAACTGTAAGTGGTAGAAATATAACGTTTCCATATGCCTAATATAACAACTCCTCCGTCATTTGGGAATAAATTCCTGTGGAGCCAAAAGAAAACTAGTAAGTTACTTAAAAGATGAATTTCAGTTTGTAAGTGAGCATAAAAAGTAAGTTTTTCCCTTCTTGGTTGCACTGGTAAATTCAAAGCTGCTATTCAAGTTTTCATAAAAGAATGGGGGCAGCATAGTCCAAAATTCACAAGCAATCTTATTTTTTTTCCAAATGGCCTAGGGTCACTGAAAATGTTGAATCTTGAAATTTCTTCTCCTACTTTGCATATAATTTGGCTACATGGCTTAAAGACAAAAATGAAAATGTTTAATACGGAGTTGTAAAAGAAAGACTTGACCTCCAATAGTATAGTAGTATTAATAGTAGTAGCATTTCTTCTAGCATAAGGCAAGTGTTTTGGTACAATGTATTTCAGGGTTGTTAACTTTGCAAACCCAAAAAGAAAAAAAAAACACAAATAAACAAATAAACAAAACAAAAAACAGGTACTTACAGATGGTTTAGGTGTATATAGAAAAGCACATTTGATATTAGCTAATTAAACAAAAGTGCAAGTACTAGAGGTTAGTTATAAGGGCAAAAAGTAATAAAAGTAATATGCAAACTGCTCAAATAAAATAGTTACTTTGTCTCAATGTACGCTGATGGAAACGGTAAAGTATTAGACTTTCAGCTTCAGGTAATGTTAAAATTTCTTTTTGAATGTTTGATTTTTTTTTTTTTTTTTTTTTTTTTTTTAAGATTCCATGGTTGTCACGATGGACTTCAGACAGATCTGTTTAACTCTTGGCCTTTTAGCAGGTAAAGTTCGTCATGTTTATCTATCAACAACATGTTTTAATTTATAACAAACTAACTATGGATGGATCAATTAATTAAAACTAAACTGTAATAATAATAAATGTGGGCTGTTCGCATTGTTTCAGGTGGATAGGTGGTGCACTGGGTAGCATTGATCAAGCATGGACTCTACTCAGACAGTTGTTGGTGTATATGTTGTGGATCTCTGCAAGAATAGGCCAAGTGATCTTCGCTACTACTTTTACCACATGATGAAGTTTCTGCTAATCACCCTTAGAGTAGTTTTAAAACAACAGTAAAAGCCTATCAGTAAAAAAGCTGTTTCTAAAAAAATCTACAATAATACATTTTGCCTTTTCTGATGATATTTAGTGTTATTGTTTCTTAAACCATACTGCTAGATGCTTAACTTCAGTCGTGTTTGGTTTCTCGTTACATCGCAATCTTGTTGCATGTAAAAGACAGTGGGCTCCAGTGGATATAGCGGAGTTTTGCCCTTCAACTATCATCATCTGTGTTCGGTTTGTAATAAAGCCCTCAATCAAATTGCATAGAGTGTTTATTTAATTGTTTTAGGGATGGATTGTATTAAGCCCTCACCCTAAGCTAAAGTTAACAAAGCACAGCCTTGCACAGTTGTTTTCGTGCTCTAGATGTTTTACCACATGTCTTCTCAAACCCCTAGTCAGCTGTTGGTTAAGGACTGGGGGTTGTGGTTGCAGTTGGGAGTTTTAACAGGCATGTTTAGTATGAGGAATTGTTGCAATGTAGGAACAGTGGATTCCTCAAAGAATTGATGTCTCTCCTGGGTTTCCTTAAAAAACTTTTAACCAATTGGTCTGGAGGATTTGATTTAACTGCCTCTGTAAAGTGCATTACTGTTACATGTACTGAAAACCAGGCTAATATGGATAAACTGAATTAAATTGAACAGGTTTAACTACCAGAACTGCAGTTGCCCAAAACACAACCCTAACTGCTCCAACCACAATAACAGCTCCTACAGAGACAACAACAACTCATCCAACCACAACTACAGCTACTCCAGCCACAACTACAGCTACTCCACCCACAACTACAGCTGCTCCAGCCACAACTACAGCTGCTCCAGCCACAACTACAGCTGCTCCAGCCACAACCACTGCTGCTCCAGCCACAACTACAGCTACTCCAGCCACAACTACAGCTACTCCAGCTACAACTACAGCTACTCCAGCCACAACAACAGCTCCTCCAACCACAACTACAGCTGCTCCAGCCACAACTACAGCTACTCCAGCTACAACTACAGCTACTCCAGCCACAACAACAGCTCCTCCAACCACAACTACAGCTGCTCCAGCCACAACTACAGCTACTCCAGCCACAACTACAGCTACTCCAGCCACAACTACAGCTACTCCAGCCACAACAACATCTACTACAGCCACAACAACAGCTCCTCCAACCACAACTACAGCTGCTCCCACCACAACAACAGCTGCTCCTACCACAACAACAGCTGCTCCTACCACAACAACAGCTGCTCCTACCACAACAACAGCTGCTCCTACCAGAACAGCAGCTGCTCCCACCACAACAACAGCTGCTCCTACCACAACAACAGCTGCTCCAGCCACAACAACAGCTGCTCCTACCACAACAACAGCTGCTCCAGCCACAACAACAGCTGCTCCAGCCACAACAACAGCTCCTCCAACCACAACTACAGCTGCTTCCACCACAACAACAGCTGCTCCTACCACAACAACAGCTGCTCCCACCACAACAACAGCTGCTCCTACCACAACAACAGCTCCTCCTACCACAACAACAGCTGCTCCAACCACAACTACAGCTGCTCCTACCACAACAACAGCTGCTCCTACCACAACTACAGCTGCTCCCACCACAACAACAGCTGCTCCTACCACAACAACAGCTCCCCCCACCACAACAACAGCTGGTCCTACCACAACAACAGCTCCTCCAGCCACAACAACATATGATGCAACCACAACAGCTGCTCCCACCACAACAACAGCTCCCCTCACCACAACAACAGCTGCTCCTACCACAACAACAACTCGACCGGCGACAACAACAGCTAATCCATCCACAACTACAGTGGCTTCTACCACAACTACATATGTTTCATCCACAATAACAGCTTCTCCAGACACAACAACAGCTCCTCTTACAACATATGTTCCTCCTACCACAACAACACATGCTCCTACCACAACACATGATCCTACCACAACAACACATGCTCCTACCACAACACATGATCCTACCACAACAACAGCTCCTCCATTCACAATACATTATACAACCACAACTACAGCTGCTCCAACCACAATAACAGCTCCTACAGAGACAACAACAACTCCTCCAACCACAACTACAGCTGCTTCCACCACAACAACAGCTGCTCCTACCACAACAACAGCTGCTCCCACCACAACAACAGCTGCTCCTACCACAACAACAGCTGCTCCTACCACAACAACAGCTCCTCCATTCACAATACATTATACAACCACAACTACAGCTGCTCCAACCACAACAACAGCTCCTCCAGACACAACATATGCTCCTCCTACCACAACAACACATGCTCCTACCATAACACATGATCCTACCACAACAACAGCTCCTCCAGCTACAACTACACCTGCTCCAACCACAACAGCTGCATCAGCCACAACGACAGCTGCTCAAATCACAACAGCTGCATCAACCATGACAGCTGCTCCAACCACATTTACCTCTGCTCAAACAACAATTTCTGCAACTACAGAAGCTCCAACTACAGCTATGACTTCAACCATGACTACAGGCGCAACAACTACAACCAGATTATCTCTACCCTCATCAACAGTGGGTACAACCATTGCAACTACTGAGATGGAAATAATAAAAAGGCGACTGACTTTTACATCTAACGGAGAAACCTTCACAAATGATTTGTTAGACTCTTCATCTGAAGCATTTCAAAATCGAACTCAAATTTTGACATCCAATGTAAGTTTTATTTCTTTAGTCAAACATATTCATCACTGCTTTTACAATAAACAAACGCTGTCAAATGTAACTCTGGATATTAAGGATAGGATCTATAGTTTTATTTGGTTTGTTTTTTACTAAAAACAAAATCTACAGGAAAAGAACACTCGATAAATCAATTAGTAAAACCTGTCTTAAATTGAAGGTGGCGAATTCCTGTGTCTTTTGAATATATGTCAGGCTCAAAACTAAAAGACCTAGAATTCGAGGCGGAAAGACAGTTAACAAACTATTATTTAAGACGGAACTGCAGAGAACATCGTCGTCTAAGGCATGAACCTTTGCAGGAGGAGACCACAGGTTAGTGACCACGTTGATCTGACACAGGATAATAATGAAGGTGTGAGTCACTAACCTCATGTCAGAGTTCAGTCCAAGTCCAGAGAATGAGGAAGGTTCCAGCCGGTAGGCTGCCAATGAGACCGGGTGGGCACCGCCCAGAAAGTCACATGAGCCGGTCTCTCAGAGGTCTGAGGACATTTTTTCTCTTACCGTAGGTCAGGATAAGAGAGTAATGTGAGAAAAAGTTGAGAATGCACACAAAGCTCGATGTAACATGTATTTCTCAGGAGAAATCTGAGAACAATGAAAAAACCACTTTGGTCTCAATTAGTGCTCATTTGTATCTACATGTAATTGGGACATAAAATAGATATTCAGATTTGCTTTGCTATAAGCTGTTTCTACAGCTACACAAAACTTTGAGTATTATATTAACCAATAATCTAAAATAGTCGTTGATGGATCTTAAATAAACACATTTCTGCACACTTTGAATCCCTCAAATTAACTATTTTTGGAAAACAACTATAAAGCATATATTTTTATGTCTTTCTGCAGCTTGAACCTCTCTACCGGGAACAGTTTACTTCATTTCTGAACCTCAGTGTGATTTCATTCAGGTAGAACAGTAGATAAATTCTGATCTTTATTAAAAATCTTGCAAACATTAACTAATATATTATTATCATTGCAGAAACGGGTCAATCATCAACAACATTGCCCTTGACTTTGCAACAGCATCAGCTCCTAATAAAACTGAAATATCAGAAGTTCTGGTCAAGGCATATTCAAACATCACAGATTTCAAGATTAACATCACTTCAATTCTTGTGCATGATGAACGTAAGCTAAGCTAAATACAAAACCAACAATATTTCAAAAAACTTGACAATTTTTTTATGTATCTTAGGTACTTCAATCCCCGAGGCTCCAAGCACAACTACTGCTGCAACCATGTCTGTACCCCCAACCACATTTACAGATATCACGACATACCCCCCAACTGAGACCACAAGTTATCCATTACCATCAGGCACTATACCACCTCTAACAACGACCCAAAGCATATTTACCACTGCTACAATGTCCGATACCACAACACCACCTCTCATGTCCAGGCCCACTTTGTGTCCCCCAACCAAAACTTGCACATGTAGACTGACATCTAGTTCATGTCCCAAAAGAGAAAGGTCTTCTTTACTCAAACAGCAAGACTTGACAACGAGAGTTGTGTCTTTCATATCTGTAAAAAATCCATTAGGAAGAGACATGTTGAATTCATCATCTACTGCCAATGAATCTTCACTGATAAAGAGACAGGTTAAGATCTGGTTCTTTTTCTTTTTACCAAATATTGTAGTCTATTGTTTGAAGTGCAAGAACTATTCACTTTTGACTATAAGTCTTTTTCTGCCCTTGCAGCTTAGACCTATCTTCCAGAGAAGGTTTTCTTCCTCCTTCATCTCCCTGGAGGTGGTTTCAATGAGGTAATATTGTTCCTATATCAAATATAAGTTAAAGTTTATTCTCACTGAACATTGTGTTTCTTTGTTGAATATATTTCCAGAGAAAACCCAACCATACACACTGCGAACCTTCAGTTTAGAAGCTCATCTGTTCCTGATGATGATGAGATACAGGATGCTTTGATCAATGCAACTTCAGTGTTTGTCGACTTCAAAATTGAAACAAAATCGATCAGCGTTCAAGACAAAAGTAAAAATCTCTTGTCTAATGACTTGATTCTGACATGAGTATCTCTATGTCATATAGCCAATGATATTAAAAGAAAAGTTAAATTTGCTATTGCTGGGCACAGGAATCCAACACTGATCTCTATTCACTGGATTGCTGATAGCCCGTTAGTAGTACAGGGTGAAGTGAAGTCACCAGCCACCATATTGTTACTCTAAAATTAGACAGGTTGCAATGTAAAAATATGTGCGCAACAGCATCAAACAACAATGATGTTCTCATTTTCGATAAAGATAAATTCACCCTTTGTTTTTTCACACTTGTTGTTTCATAGCATAAGTAGATTACTGTAATTTATACTGACTATGCATCACATTGAATGAAGTATTTTTGTTTTAGCTCTCTCTTCACCACAACGGACCAGTACAGCTCCCGCTTCACAGGCATTTATCTGCCTGTTGATCTCCCGCTCCATCTTCCCCTCATTCATGAAAAAGACCCGAAGACACTTAAACTCCTCCACAAGGGGCAGTACATCCTCACCAACCTGGAGAAGGCACTCTACCCTTTTCCAGTTTAAGATCATGGTCTCAGATTTGGAAGCACTAATCCTCATTCCGGCCGCTTTACTCTCTGCTGTGAACCGCTCCAGTGATAGCTGTAAATCATGCCCTGATGAGGCCAATAGGACCATGTCATCTGAATATAATAGAAACACGATCCTAAGGCCACCACAATGGATCCCCTCAACACCTTGGCTGTGCCTAGAAATTCTCTCCATAAAAGTTATGAACAGATTTAGTGACAAAAGCCAACCTTTTCACCAAGCTTTTTAACCACCTTGGTGACCTCAGCACCATAGATGGAAGAAACCAACCCAGAGCCCTCAAACTCTGCTTCCTCAATGGAAGACATGTTGGTGAGATTAAGGAGGTCTTTGAAGTACTCCGCCTACCGACACATGACATTCTGAGTCGAGGTCAGCAGCACACTACACAGACTGTAAATAGTGTTGGTACTGCACTTCTTCCTCCTCCTGAAATGCCAGATTATGGACCAGAATTGCTTCAGAGCTGTATGTGAAGTTTTTCTGTATGGCCTTTCCGAACTCTTCCCATGCCCGAGTTTTTGCCTTTGGTACATATCAGTAGCTTCTGGAGTCTCACAGGTCAATAAAGCCTGATAGGACTTCTTCTTCAGCTTGACAGTTTCCCTAACTGCTGGTGTCCACCAGCTGTTGCGACATACAACGACAACCTTGCAGCCACGGCTCCGACTAGCCGCAATAGAATGCCTCAGCAATAGAAGCATGGAACATGGTCCAATTAGACTCAATGTCCCCCACCTCCCTCGGAATGTGTACAAAGTTCTCTCGTGGTTGGAGTTAAAGCTCTTTCTCATATGAGAATCTGCCAGACGTTCTCAGCAAATCCTAACAATGTGTTTGGGCCTACCAGGTCTGATCGGGGTCCACCCCCTCCATCTGAGGCAACTCACCACCAGGCAGTAGTCGGTGGAGTGGGATTGAATACCTTTAATAATATAACTTACACATGTGGTGTGATTTCACATTCAAATATTTTCTTTTTTTCACAGTGAATTACTTTCTATTCACTCTACTTTCTATTTTCTAACATTAGACACAATGTCGATAGCTAACTCAGTCAATGTCTTCGAGTCGGTCTAAGTTAGCCAGACTAATTACACTACAGACTATACTATGGAATACATTGGGGTATATATGGATTTCCTTGCTTAGCACATCCACTGACTGTAAAATTACCTGTAAAAAGACTTCCCAGAGCCAGCAAACTTCTTCTTTTTGTACCCAAATCCTATACATTTAGGCATTTCCATGGTGTGACTCCATGAGAGTGGGGAGTTCCAAGATGGTGGCAGGTGACTTCAGTTTTTTGGTCTATCATCAATCCAGTGAAAAAATAGAGATCAGTGGGGTCCATCAACAAAGTGGAACTTTTATTAAGATTGGAATATAATCAAAGTTAATATAAATGTAGATATAGTAGAATACTACTTTTGGTAATATAGTGTATAGTACGAATAACATATCATTCAGATAATTTGTCAAAAGCAAGTTGGTTATTGTGAAACTAATGCTTTATATTTCCATTTACAGCTTGAGATGAAAGAAGCCTGAAGATCATTCTCAATATCCTATCTTTTCTCACACAGCTTATGTCAGGCATGTACATGTTAGTACAATGGTTAATAATAATAAAACATTTTATTTAAATCACTGTTCAAGAAACCCAAGGATATTGTATGTATAAAGTAAGTAAGTAAGGGGAGACAACACAAATTGTCGGACTGCAATAAAAAAATACATTTCTTCTGCTACAGTTTAATATCCATACAACATTTTCATGCTTCCAGTGTAATTATTAGCTTTGGGCGTGTGATAAGTAGAATTTGTACTTCAGGTGAATGGTTCACTATGAAGGTTTGCAAACAGCAAATGTCTGCATAATATGTGGGGGGTTTTGAGATAAAAACATCTATTGGTGATGGATGCCTCACTAAATAATATTTATGATGATATATCTACATACCGCATCAAAAAGCATTACTTAAAACCTGAGTGATCATTGTATATACTTAAAGTTTCACTTTGGAAAATGAATAAAGAACTTAAACTGTGTTGTATTATTTTATCCAGTCATGGTTTTCATAGCTAAAATGAATCTGTAAGATTTATGCTGAGTGGAAACGAAAAGTAAGGAAGGCTAACACACTTTTACAAGCAGATCAGGTTTGGGCAGATACAGTATGTGAAAGGCTTTGTGTTTATTTAGATGAAGGATCTCTTTGTTACTAATTATACATCTGTCACCACTAAATACTGTCATTGTTGGCAGCAACACAGACAAATGTCATGACTTACTTTCCTTAACGACCTTTAAAGCACACAAGACACTTTCAGTTCAGCATATACTTATAACATGTTTCGGCAAAAAGATAAACAAAAAGAAATAAAGGTTAAAAAAAATTTATGTCACGTCAAAATATGTTAAAGTATCTGTGCTTCAATGCATTTTCAAGACAATGGTAAACATGAGTTAGTTTGTTTGATTAAATTTGGGAGTCTCACTAAGTCACGAAGCAAACTTGTCTTTTAACCTGCCGCCTTCCTTTGTAACCAGAACATGCTCATCTTCTCTCTACAGCCATTTTTCTCTTCCTGTCAATCATTTTCTATGCTCTGAAATTCAAATTCAAATGTACATACACTTTAGTGGGTCGCTTTCTTCCTTAAAATACCAATTAAACCAGTCAGCTCACATTGTTGCAAAGTAATTCTGTGAGAGAGTGGTTTTGAAAAATGAAATAAAATGAATAAAGGTTAGATTTCTCACATGGTGAAAATTTAATCTACAAAAAATTTGATCAAATGTTTTTCTTTTGAATAAATATAAAGGAATATGACTGAACTTGCCTTTCTCTTTTAAACCTATTATAAGTCTCATTCTCATTTGGCTTTTTCTCTTTTGTACTGATGTCTGGATTCCATTTGGTTGATTTTGCTTCAAGTTGTCTGTCATTTCTCATCTCATTGTGTGTGCTCATGGATTTTTCTTAAGTTGAACTTAGGGACGAAAGAGCAAAGGGCCCTCTTTCCAGTTACCCTTCGGCCATGTTGACTGTTGATTATGTTCTCTCTCCATTTTTTTTTTTACATTTTTATAGAAGGAACCTGACTCACTGACGGGTTTAGATGTGTCAGTATCCTGTAATTTATTTGCCATTAATCTAAGATAGAGAATGACCCACTTTGATGAGCTTTGATATTAAGTTATTTGTACTAAATGGCTTTAAAATCATGAATGTTAATGCATATCTTCCATTATCTCTTACTTCACTAGAAAGAAAAGTATGTCGGAAACCTAGTGCTTCAACACCACGTTTTACCAAGATTTCCCTCAGTCTATGTAGGCAAAAATATACATTTTCAGATGCCTCCAATCTGGCCACCTTTCATGGAAACGCCCCTGCTAGACATATTACTCAGACTTACTTAGACTTGGACAACATTTATTCTCATTTCATATACATAGAGTGTATGCAAAACAAAATTTTGTTTATACAGATTTCAGACAGTAAATGAGCAGCAGTTTAGCAGTGAAATTAACATTTTAATTTAATTATGTGCAGTGGTGATTGTATGTAAACAGTGTGGGTGAAAAGGTTAAAAGTTAAAAACAATACACTGGACTTTATTTTCCAAGTTTGAAGACATTTCACTTCCCATCCAGGAAGCTTTTTCAATTTAAAATGTCAGAATTAGGGTTGAGTTCCAAGCTTTATTGAGTAGCCCAACAAAGCTTTGTTTTGGCTTAGAAAACATGCAAATTGAACCAGAAGAACAGGTCCACCCTTTAGGAACGGTTAGTCATTTATGTTCTTTGTTAGCATGCAATACTTGATACTGGTCTATGCCTCTGAAGGTGAGGAGTCATTAGGGTCCCCTGCGTGGTGATGGGGGTTGAGATGAAAGCGGGAAGGAATCAACTCTATTGCTGCATTGTAGGTTTGTGAGAGCTAGAACCTGAGTCCACCCCCTCTGTTTAAGGTTGTTTTTTCTCTCTTAACATAAATTACTTCCTTCACACCCCTGTCCAAACCACCTTCTTTGTCCAAAATGTGAACATTCTGTTCCTCAAAAGAATGTCCTTTGCCTTGCAGCTGAGGAGGTAGCTCTCCTGAGTTGAGCCATGCTTCTGTGGAGAGGTTGTTTGGTTTCTCTAATATAAAGATCAAAGCATCCCTCACTGCATTAAGCCGGGCATATTTTTCAATCGTTGCACGTGGCTACAGTTTACTCTGTAAGAGGAAACCGCAGAGTTACCTGCAAAAAGTGTCAGTTCACAGCTCACACAGCTCATGCATGTTCAGCCTGATGCGATCTACCTGCTCACACTGTACATCTAAAAACCACATCTGACTCAGCTCCGCAGTGAGATGGAGCTACTCTGACTCATCTATCCAGAAGCCAAATGAGTAGAAGAGGACTCTGAAGCTCACTATAGTGAACCGCGTTGCCTTGGCAATTTGTGCAATTTTGTGCTGAAAGCCCTAAAAAGAAAAGGCAGCAACGTATTTGGACAAAGACATGGCTGAGCAAACGTGGCTACTACGGTCTGTCAATTTTGCAGACAGAACTCCATTTCACTCATTGCACCATGCTTCTGTGTTTACATCTGAAAGAAAGGAGAAAAAGAAGAATTTTTGTTTGTGCATGCCCACTGAGCAATTTGCCCACGACGGTCGGGAGAAAATCAAACATGTCTGATTTTCTCCCGACCTCACGACTCCTGATCAGGAAGTGGTCGTGGGAGGCTGATGGCCCCTTGTTACCCTATGTATACTATATGACGCATGACCAGGCTGAAAGTTGGCCCGATCGAAAAATTCTTGCACGACTGGAAAAGGGCAGAAAAAATAAATCACACAGTGTAAGCCCGGCTTTAAAGTGCACCCACCACTCCACTCATCTTAGGTCTGGGGGTTTAGTGTTTAGCTTCTTTAACCTTTTTGGAATGACTATGACCTGGATGACTGAGAATCTTTACTAGCACTGTGGGTAAAAAAAAAAAAAACATGGTGCAAAATATTGAAGTTCAGAACAGTGTAAAAAAATATATGTGGGGCAAAAACTTAGTTTAGTTTAGTAATTTTGAAATTAGGCAATTTCCTCAGAAAATAAATAAGTGCATGCAGTAAATATATACTGTACGGAAGAGGAATAGGGAGACCTAATCTTTTTTTTTTAAAAGTTAACAGATTTTTAGATTTTATTTCAATATAATATAAATAAATAAATAAAAAAATCTCAGGATTCTAACTTTAATCACATAATTCTGACTTTAATCTCAGAATTCTGACTTTTTTCTTAGAATTCTGACTTTAATCACAGAATTCTGACTTTTTTCCCCATATTAAACTGAAATAAAATTTAAAAATCAGTTAACTTTTTTTCTTTTCTTTTCCAGTGTCCCTAATTGTCTTCCGTAATATTGGGATCATCTCAGTTTGTGGGAATCTAATGAGCCAGTGAGGATTTAATTTTGGGATGGTCACTGCCCTTAAAAGGCATTAATATTTAAGTCCAGAACAGTGTAAAAACAAATATATGTGGTGCAAAAATGCAGTAGAAAAACATTTTTTCCCCCCAGCTTTAGGTTAACAGATTTTTAGATTTTCTTTTAGTATAATATTAGAAGAAGAAAAAAATTCTCAGAATTCTAACTTTTTCCATTATTAAACCGAAATAAATTTTTAAAATCAGTTTTTTTTTTTTTTTTTTTTTATAGTGGCCCTAATCGTCTTCCATAATACTGGGCTCATCTCAGTTTGTGGGAATCTGATGAGGGTTTTATTTTGGTATGGTCGCTGTCTTTACCATAAATGGTTAACCGGAAAAGGAAAACCCATGGATTAATGTGTGTATCCAGCATCTTAGGCGCACTGGGCATCCTTCAACAAAGCCCCTCATAAGATTCGCTTAATCATGGGGATATATAGCATTTTATGACGGAGGACTGATTGTTTTTTTGTTTTTGCTGAGGAGGGGCTGTTATTGCAGACTGGGAGTGCAGGGTCTGGCCACCCACACTCTGTGGAAGTGGGACAACGGAGCAGATGGCGCATCTAAGCTGAGCTGCGGGGCTTTGTCTTGCACCAAATACAAGGTGCCATCATTAAAACAACCGGTTTGCTTTATTTCTACGAGAGTTCATTTATTTTTTTATCCGATAATTATGTCGGAGTGACGGCGCAAATGCAGAACAGAAATACGTCCATATACCGCCTGATCTGAGCCCACCGTCCCTTTCTTAATCCTCTCTATAATTGAACACAATGGTGGATAACCGCTACGCCACCGCTCTGGTCATAGCCTGCGTGCTGAGCGTCCTGGCCACGGTGTACCTGTCGGTGGCCATCGGCACGCAGCACTGGTACCAGTACAGCAGCCCCACGGTGCGTGGAGAGGCCAACGTGTCGGAGCTGCGCTCCCTGTACGAAGAGTTCATGAGTGGGGAGTTCGACGAGAAGACCTACAGTGACACGCTGTTCCGCCTCAACGGGACCGTGGGCCTGTGGTGGCGGTGCGTGCTGGTCCCACCCAACGCGCAGTGGATCAAGGAGCCAGGTATGCGGCCCTGAGGCGCTCCAAGCCTGCAGCGCAGCGCAGGAACCCGGCAGCTGTCACTCATTAAGGTTTCATCTTCAAGCATGAATCACCTGTTCCTTCAATCTGCCAAGAAAAAAAAACCCAAACATCTGATTTATGGTGGCTTAATTAGAGATCAATCGGGTATGGCAACCTTAATCATCTTTCAGCATAAACCTAGGATGTGTTTTATTCCCATTTCCAAGGAACTTAAAAGTCACATGTTACACAGCAACCTTTTTATTTCATTTTCCTCTTTAAATGAAACTGAATTGATCTCTAAATATTGAAAGAACATTGTTTTTCTCATCATAACACACTACATTAATCAAACTTTGGTAGGGACACTATTAGTTTTCAGTTTCATTGGTCTTATGTCATTGGTCCTATGCAAAAATATGCATGCTCTTTTTTATGCTTAATGTGAGCATCAGGGCACATTTTGTTTAAAGAGAATAGCAGCTTTTCTTCCCACATTAATACAAATCTTATAAGCACTACACACTAGATGCTGTTTATCAATGTTTAAAGCATCACTGGCTCTGATGAATGTGGAATTAGGACGTTTTTCCACTTTAAAAAGTTTTGCATATAAACCTAGACAGTAGGTAAATAAGTGCCTATTTAACCAAATATAGTCTAAATATGTCTGTTATATGTGGATTGATTTGCTTACTGTCTAACTGTTTAAATAGCTCTTTATGTCTATTTTCTTTTTTAGTGGCATCATCTACAAAGCACAAGAATGAGCCTTTATTCCAATATAAAATCACTTTTAACAATTATAAAAGACAATATAACACTATCTTATCTGTAATGTAATAGTATCCAAAATAAACAGCCAGATTCAAGCATTATTTACCAGACAATGTTTGTTATAGACAGAAGAAAATTCTTTTAAACATACAAAGTGGGTTAGAGCAGTGCGCTTGTGTTATGAAAAGGTTGCAAGCACCCAGTTTGATCCCCACAGCCTCCACTCTGGGTTCCTGAGCAAGACCCTTAACCCCACACTGCTTCCTGGGCGCCACACAATGGCAGCCCACTGCTCACCAAGCAGATGGGTCAACTGCAGAGAGTGAATTTGCCCATTATGAGAAAATAAAGGTACATTAAAGGGATTTACACAAAACCACCTAACATAAATAAATAAACCTTTGTTATCTAGGATTCACAGTCTAAAGCAGGGGTGCTCAAATCCGGTCCTCAAGAGCTACTATCCTGCAACTTTGTGATGCACCCAGTTTTTAACACACCTGAATCAAATGAGTGGCTCGTTACCATGCTTCTGCTGGGCTAAACGAAGGGACTTTTGATTCAGGTGTGTTAGAGAAGAGAGGCATCTAAATGTTACAGGATGGTAGCTCCTGAGGACTGGATTATAGCACTATAAAATCTGACAGGCTCGAGTAAAAAATAAAAGGGACTACTTAAAACATCAAAGGTTGGATAGTAAGGAAACCTGCAGTCTTTCATGTTTTTGTTATATTAAATTTCTATTTTAGATACTCTTCAGCTTTGAGTGATGGATTTTTAAAACAAAAAATTCAGAAAATCTAATTTTTCGATTAAGTTGTTTATTTGTACTTGATTGCGTATTTGATACATAAGAAAAAATAAACCTTTGTAGTCACAGATATCAGCTGTAGTTCTTGATAAGCACACACAGTGCAGCAGGGTTTTTAGACCACTCCTCCATACAGATCCTCTCCAGATTTTCTACGTTTTTTGTGAAAAGGTAGAAAAGACTAAATTAAATCTGGCAATTGACTCTTTCAGATGCCAAGATGGTGCTGGAGTGTCGAAACTTCACTTTGCTGGAGCAGTTCACCCCCAAATACAAAGAGCCGGGGAACCACAACAGCGGAGAGGACATGCTCCGCACCTGTACGTCTCCAGAATCATTCTCTGTTCTTTGAGTAAAATCCTACTGACAGTATGCATCTCCTTGTCACAGAGTACTTCACTAACAACAGTTTTTGATGTGTCTCCTATGGAAAGATTTGTGGAGGTGCCAGTTTCTGCTGCCACTGACGTCTCTCGGTCTGGTTGTGTTAGCGGGCCTCATTGGGTTCTGCGCCTGCCTGTGCAGGACCCTCACACCTACACTGGGTTTAGGAGTTCTTCACCTGTTGGCTGGTAAGACCTGTTGCACTGCATCTCTCAGCAGCAAACATGCAAGACTCTAATTAAGACGTCACTAAAGAACTTTTCTAAAGGTGACCTCCTTTTCATTTTCTCTCATGCACCTGCGTTCTTGTAGAGTATTATAGAAAAAGTCCCACATTCCCGCTTTAGTTCTCTCTAGAAGCGGGACTTTCTAGTACTAATTCAAACTGTTCTATCTATAGCTATTTTCAATAGGACTCCTAAAGTCTACGGGGGTTTAAGATGCAAAAATTTTTCTTTACAGGCATCGTTAGGTAGATCTCTCTAGTACCAGGTTGGATTTCCTTTGGCCTTTTCTTTGTCAAACATTTCTCTGAGATTTTGGTCCATGTATTGGTAAAATCAGGCAAGGTGAATCTCTCATCCCACCATATGCCAAAGCTCTGCTGAACTGGGATCTGCTGCCTATCGGAGTTCATTAAAGTCATTACTGTGAGGCTTTTTGCTTCGTGGCAGGAATTCTAAGATTGTTTTCTCTGTACCTTTCTGGTATTATCAGCTAGTTTCCCTGTACTCAACTGATGAACCAGGGCTGTAGTCTTTTTTTAGATTTTGTGATGGGTTGCTCGGTTACATTTTAAGAATTATTTTCTCTACATAGTAATTTAATTGGTATTTATTATTTAACTGTTAATTTGGTAATGCTCCATGTTTCTTTGTATCTATCCCTATCATATAGACATTAAATAATACTAATCGAAATTGAAATTGCCTGCTTCTGTTTTCTGTTGTTAGGTTTACTATTTATACATCATATGCATTGTTATTCTGTTAGCCAGATTAGACAGAGTAGAAGGCCTTCCTTCACATTGTGGATGTCACTGTGTGTACGGAGGTCATCTAATCAGGACAGCCATCGTGTCTTTAAAAATACACAGGATATGGGCACATCTTGGAGCCGGACTGATAGAGGAGAGCTATCTGTAACCCTGAGGCATAGAGGCAAGCTGCATGAAGTTCAAGACATGGATGGCGTGTCAGTTTCTGATACGGACAGCTAAACATCAACATGATGCAACACATAGGGCCGGATTTATCAAGATCCAATTTTGCGTGCAGTAATTTGCGCTCGCAAACTGGAATTTTGCGCGAGGGGCTGAACCATGGTTTGCGGGTGATTTAACAAGAGCAATTGCGTAACTGGTGGCAGGTGCAAAACTGTTGGTGACGCCCTATTTAAATGATGGTTTTGCGCGTTTTGTGGTTTGCGGCAAAGTAGTTTGTTGGTTGTGCAAACTAGTGCATTAAGAAATTTTAATCTTACAGTGACACCCCACCCCCTCCCAAAAAAAAAAAAAATAAATAATATATATATATATATATATATATATATATATATATACACATACTCACTTTGGCAGCCTTTATTCCCTAAGGTGGTATGTGGCTGAATTTCTACTTCACTGCAGTAAAAAAAAAAAAACGCATCCCCGCAGCATTGGCATGTTGCTCCAAAGGCGCAAGGATGAGGTCGGGGTTCTCCGTTAGGGCGTCCGGGCGACATGGCATTTAAAACGTCGGACAGCACTTCTGAAAAACGAGATTGGGAGATCCCAGATGCAAAAAAGTGCAATGTTGCAAGGAGTTTTGTGATATCTGGTATTGCGTGGGTCCTCCTTGTGGCTGGCTCCAAATCCATTCGGAGTTCCCCCAACAGCTCCAAAATGTCAATGCTGGATAAACGATATGTTTTGATGATAGTTTCCTCGTTCATTCCAAAAATATTCACACGGAGTGAAAAAATGCGTTCTCTGCGTCTCCTTGCTTCATTTCCATCGCTCCTTCTTGCGGCAATAACCGCTGCCATGTGTGCGCAATTACGCATACAGACCATTTGCACCTTCTTTTGAAACGTGTTAAATATAGAGTCAGATACCGTTAGCAAAATTGCTTTCAGGTTTAATAAATCACTTTGCGAGTGCTAAATTAATATATTTACATGTTCTCCTCCCACAAGACGCACTTTTGCGTGTAAACGCCCCATATTGCATATTCATTGCAGAAAAAGTACTAAATGGATAAGAGGCGCTATTTAGCACGTTTTAAAGACCAAATCCTTTTAGCACGCTGTTGATAGATCAGCTTGTACACTTTTTAGCGTGCGCAGTGAAATAGCTCACGTTTTAATACACGCAAACCTTTGATAGATCCGGCCCAGAGACTCATGAGCTATAAGAAGCAGGAGATGACCTTGTTCGGCGCTCAATCTTTGCCGGACGCTCGCGGACGTGATTTTTGATCCCACAGCTGTGCAAGCTCCAAGCATTTTCTCTGTCCTGTAACGACCTGATCTGGAATGTTTTATAGTCCTTTTTTATATGGTTTTACCCAGTTTGAGTTAAGAGTAGTGAATAACTTGCTCCCAGGAAAAGAACCGTGAGGAAGCCCCCGAGGCGCAACGGCTTTTTTCGGGGACATACTTCCTCAATTAACACTGTTTACAATTTATAGTAGATTAGCTGTTTCTGAAACATTAAAACTACACGCCAATTACATGGCCATGTTAAAAGTTGCTTAAATCTTATTTTACCACATAAGTGGGACTTATGAAGTGGCCAGTGCTAGAGAAGATACACTTAAGTTTTGTGGAGGATTTTCTGGCTTTTCTTAAAAGACCCGCCGTCTCCACTTAAAAAAAATAAAAAACAAAAAATGCACATGCACAACCCTTTACCAGCCCCTGAGAGGGAACACCTATTAAACCTGTGCGAGAGCGTGCATGAGCCCATGTCTCCTCGTGCACAATCTGTTGAAAACTTGCTGTTCTCATAGCTAATACAAGCTTACTGTGTCCGTACATCCTCTCTAACCCCTAAATCACTATATAGTGGACTTTATAGTAGACCTTATTGCAAACTCGGTTAACTTACAATAGTAGCCATTCAAAATTTCCCCACTTTCCTTGATGGGCCCTTGGCTGGTCCCTTACAGTTCCTTTTTAAACATTAATCTTTGTACAAAAATATTCTTTTTGTCATGATGTGTGGACATTAAGATCTAAAGAGAAGGGTGGAGTCGGAGTAAAAAAATATGCATACCCAGGCTGGGAGCTGCAGGGAAGTGGGCTGCCATTCGACTGGCTTTTTACTGGCAGGAGCCATTTTAAATGGCTGCTGCTGTACTGTTCATAAAGATTATCTCTGCTTTTTGTTCGGTTGCTCACGTAACTCATCCATCACACGTTGCCTGCTCCATCTTTATAATTAGTCGCCACTCTTGTGTAGCAATAGTGGGCCAATGTGACAGCAAATCCCATATTGCTTTGCATGGACAGGAGAGCTGTCCATGCAAAGCATTCCAGGATATATCTGGCTCTTCTGAGGCCTTTTTTTTCCTTCTCATACACTTTGTGTATACCTTCTCTCATACGACTCTTGGCCATTTTCAGATAACTTTGGTGAGAAGGGTGAACTTAAATGATTATCTGAAACCGTAGCTCACCAGAGATATACACCTGAAAGTGCGCATGGGCAGAAAAATATAGCTAACTGGGGCGAGCACTTAGGACAGCCTTAAGTAAACATATCTCCAGAATGATTGACCATTAGGAGGAGCACCTAATTAGAGGATCCACCCAGAAATAAAAGATTGTGATATATACCATAATGGGGAAGAAATTCAATATATGTCAATTGAAATCAGTGCAAAATATAATAAACAGATTTCTTTGGCTAATTTTTTTGTAAATCAGGTAATCAAACAGGACCAGAAATTGAAGCTAGAATATTGATTATTTCTGATGTTTTATCTGTTCTTTTTATTAATTCTCTTCAAATGGTTCGAATCAAAGAGGCAGGAGGCTGTTCTTTAGGAAGCAAAGCAGGGAGATCACCCATGAGTTGATTACAGTACAAAGTTTTGTTTAGCTTTAGGTGTTGATGAACATTATAAGAACATCATTAGTCGTAGATTAGATTCTTGACTTGGTCAGTTATAAGCCGGTAGTGTGAAATCGTATTCACCAAAACCAACCTCAAGAAATGAGGTAGAATTGTTTTTTAGGCTCATTAAAATATTTTTTCTATCAGGTTATATTTTTTTTATGTCTCTGAAGACCTCTGCATGTTTTTCCTGCTCAGAAATACCCTAACACGTCTCTGTCATCCTGTACCTTAAAGGTCTGTGCACCCTGGCAACAGTGTGCTGCTACCTGGCTGGGATGGACCTGCTCCACAGGGTGTCAATGCTCCCTGACAAGGTGGATGGCTCCCTGGGTTGGTCCCTTTACCTGGCTCTCATCTCCTCGCCCCTGCACATGATGGCTGCCGCACTGCTGGTGTGGGCGGCACGCAGCCACAGCCAGAACTACTACCGCATGACTGCATACCGGGTGGCGTGATGAGAGATTGTGCTTCAGATCTCAGATTTTAAATACCACAACTCCGGCACCAGAATATACATTTCATACTAATATTTAAGGATATGTTTTGTTTTTTTTATCCCATCCTAGATTCAATATCAAGTAAAAACCCTAACGTATGCTGCATTTATTTATTTATTTTTTTCTAGAGCTGCTAATATAAAAAAAACAAATTTAAGTCATCAAATTGGACCCTTTGAAAAAGAGTCAGTTAATCAAAAACCTGTTAGACCCAAGTGCACCTCCTACTCTTATGTGAGACTAAGTTTAAGGTGTAGTTTCTTACAGCAGAGCAGCAGACTGAAGAAAACGCCCCTCAGAAGAATGGTAGAAAAATAATTAACGTCCTGACCTGAATCACATTGAAGCTCTCAAGTATGCATTTTAAGCCTGTCATGTGAGGCGTCAAACATCTACATACCAGCGCACTAACCTAAGTTTTTCTTTTGTCTTTTTTTTAGCAGCTTGTTTTTGTTGGATATTTATGAAACCAGTGTTTACTTGGTTTCACTCTACCTATTGCATGTTCTACTGCGATGTTTCCAATCAACTCACTCTAATTAATAATAAAGTATATATTAAAATCATATCAAAAGGTCTGATTACAATATGGTGAAGTCAGGTTCAGTGTATAGCGCCAAAGTTTTCCTAAGAAATCCCAACTGTTTATAATGATAGTGTTGCTGAAATCTCCCCTCCTGCGCAAGAGAATAAATGCGTAGAAGCATCACTACTGCTGTGGAAAGGAACGGGTAGCCATACTCCCTTGCCTGTACAATAGTAAAGTCAATGTGTGCTTTAAAATAACAGGAAAAATGATTTCCATGCACTAATTCTGTTGCGGTACAGTGTTTTTATTAGCGTTCACGTGGCTTTGTTCCAGTAATTTAGACACTTAAAGTATTATTTAGAGCTGCTGCTACCTCCTTTGTGTTATTTTTATGCTTTTTTTTCAGAGCAGGGCATGCTTTTGAAATCCATCTGATAACAAGCTGACAATGTCGTTTGGTTAGTTTTCAGAACCTGCTAAGGGGCGTAAACGTTACTCAGTAGACATACTGTAAATACCAGAGGGGGAAAATAACATTAAGAAAATGTATTTTATTTTATTTCAATTTCAAGCAGCGCAGTCCCCTTTGTCATGAAAGTTATGATTTGTGTATTTTATTTATTGTGTTTATTTATTCTGTTTCCTGGTTTAAGGATAATACAACATAAAACAAATGGAAAAAAGAATTCAGCGTATACATTTGAAATTACTGTAGAGACACTCTACAGAGATACTGTAGAGGTGATTAAACACCACTTATCAGGTTGTTCCTTGAAAACGTTCTGTTCTAATCCTGACTAGATATGTGATCCCTCCTCTTTTATTTAAAAGCAGGCTGGCTTGGGATGGATGTGACTTTTTGGGTAAAGTTCACATTTTTTTTTTAGAATTTATATTTAGGAACGCAATCCCTATATCTTAATCTTAGCCTGTGTTATTGATAAAAATCTAGTTTTGATGCATCTTAAAAAGGCATTACATTTTTCTAATGATACTGCCACCTTTGGTCAAAACGTAGAACTGCAGCTATCTTCTAGTCATTGTAGCCGGTGCTCGGACTTAAGGCTTTTTTTTTTTTCGCTTTCACCTAATGTGGAGTTGCCATTGGTGTCTGAGTTGAGCTGGTTGCCAATCATTTCTAAAAACTTGACCTCACATCCGGGCAGTGCGGGTACTTTACATTTAGGAAAATAGGCCACATAATAGATCAATCTGCGCTGAACTACTGAGGTGTCAGTTTCATCATCAAACTATGTTTTACTCCTGAAGGAGTGAATAAAAAAGCTTTGGTGAAGATATTTTTCAGTAAAAACTAACAAAATATCTGTTACACGAGCGTTGTTGTGTGGAAAATACCCCAAAATGTTAAGTTCCAAAATGTAGTTGTTTGTTTGTAAGAAATTGGATTTAGCATCGTTCAAAAAAATTGTCACAGCATGATGCAGCTCAGGGGCGTTGCTAGGCACAAAGCTTTACTGGGGCACTGACCCCCTACCGCATATGCCCCTCCTTCCATACACAAATACAGACAGGCACACTGCCCAACCCTGATACATTCCAACCAAAATTACCAGTTGAGATATTAATAAGTGTAAGAGCATATTTGTTTTAACAAACATGAACATTTTCAACATTGCAGCTATAAAAAATAAGACATTACCAACTTTAAAAATAAAACGTTTCCTTATACACATTCTGAAGTAATGATTAATTTCTAGGTTTCAGAGTTTTAGTTCGGGGGAAATGTTAACTAAGTTCAGGATGAGTAAATTTTTTGAGCATTAAAGTGTACCTCCTATTTTTCATTTTTGCAAACCGGTCAATCACTTGACTGTGACTCAGCTTAGAAAGTTCTTCCTTTTCAACTGATAAAATAGCAAGATGATGGAGCCTGTCTTGTCCCATTGTGCACCTCAGCCAAGTGTGGAACCTTCTCAACACACTGAATGACCTTTCACAACTACAGCTGTAGACTGGGATGGTGAGGGAGATCTGGATGACCTGTGTTAGTCTTGGGAATATGATGTTATCAAGCAAGTTGAAAACACACTGCATATCCTTGATGACAAGGCTTTCTTTTTCAATCATAAAAAGCTTTCAAACCATTTTGAATTAAACAAACGTTTTTTTACTCCAAATTTGTGCTGGGGATAGTGGGATAACTTCACTTGTTTAGGACCATCATGCTTTCCCCCTAAGTCACTAATGTCCCCTTCTTGTTTTTGGAGGCTGGTTGTTGCTCCCTCATCACCTTCATGGTCCTGTCTTTCCTGTCTCTCACCTGTCTCTTGCCTGTCAGTCTCGCCTCATCCTCCCTTTCCTACTCCAGCACCTTCATTCTCATCCTCTACAGCAAACATTAAAAAAATGTAAATCTATAATTATGTAAATATCAATCATATTGCTTATAACGTCCCTAATGTAACTGCTTAGCTTAAATCACTAATTCATCACGGGACCTTACCTCCCTCTCTCTCATCTTGTTTAACTGCTTCCCTGTCTCTGCTTCGTGTGAGGAATTTCCTGATATCCATCTACAAACCAATGCAGTAATTTTCAGTTAGTAGCCTTTAAATCATGTGGTTTCACTGGGAAAATATTAAAATTGACAGGTAAGAAACATTACCAGAACTAAAAATGCGTCGCGGCCGCACAGTGTCCCATCCAAAACAGTTGAGAGCAGTGTGTTAGTTTACCTGCAGTTCATGCAGTGACATGCGCTGACGTGGGGGCGCTAATTCATCCTCAATTTGGAGTTAACAACACACTTGCTGCACGTTGGAATTATCTAAATTGATGCATTAAAAAATGTAATACTGTTGCAAATATTCATGAGATTTATACTGGGGCACAGCTCATTTATACTGGGGCATGTGCCCCAGTAAATGGGGTCTGGCGACGCCGATGATGCAGCTTCTACCATGCTTGACAATTGGTTCCAGCATGAAACAAAGTCAGATTATAATTGTAGAGGCATTGAGATCTTGGTCTCTGACCATACAAAAAAAATGATAAGAAAAATTATTTTCTTCCTTTTCAGAGGAGCGGTTTTGCTAGATTGTTGAAAACTAGAGACAATAAGTTGGGTAATGCAGAATCTAAAACAAAACAAAACTAATATCAATGTCATGATGAGGACTTACAAACAGTCGTAACAGGAACTCTGTTGCTTTGGCGCTACCAAACCAACCAGTTTAAGTTCCCTTCAATTATTTCATGAAGAGGGACAAAATATCAAGCTAGAACTGTGTTAAAAAATCAATTGCTGCAAAAAGCCAGTGGTCGGTGTTCAGCTATTGAAGAGACGCACATATAAGTGGGGCTGTAAACGTAGATTTAAACTAATTTTTGTGAGCAATGCCTCCTGTCTACACAGAACAGTTCAAATAATTCATGAAAGGCCTATAATTAAAGAAATTATTCTGACTAGAACTGCGTCTTTCAGATCTGATTGAGAAGCGTAGTTTATTGAGATCAGGACATTATGTTTTACAGCCTGAAATAATGGGTAGTAAATATTAAAGACTGTTCTGTCAATATCGGATACGCTTTGCATATTCAAAGTTAGTGACATACATGACAACTCTGTCCTCCGCTCAGTTATGCGAGCACACCAGTAATTTTACATTTCTGAAAAGAACAAACGCCTCCAGTCAAACACTGAAGTATTTTCGTAATCCTTACTTCAGGCACTTTGACATGGAAAGTTGTGTTCGTTGAAAAGTTCAACAAGACTATTGCTGCTTATCACAAAACATCCACAATTGCTTTTTTTCATTATTTAACTGGTTTATTTCTTCTTTATACTTCAAAAAGTGTCGATTTTTGTTCCTATTCATGCACATCTGTAACATTTTACCGTATTTTGTAGAAAACAAATGTAATTTTGTCATGTAGTGAGACGATACCTGCTGTTTTACTGACCCGTTTTATTTATAAAAATACCTTTTAGTGGTTTTGTTCTCTACTTTGTGTTTGACATTTCTTTAAACAGTATTTTTGTTTTTTGCTGCCAAAAGGAAATCATCACATATAAGGGAGATTTTTGTCTGCTTCCTATCAGTTATGAATGTACTTTAAGGACATATGTAGTAAAACTACTAAAATTCTTTGCACACTTATTCAAATCATATCCTGCTGTAGTTTTAGATTGATAAATATCTATTTTTTTGGAAGAATTCTACACATTTGGGAGGACAATGAATTATCTTTATGCTAATTAAAGAATGCTGGATGTTGACAGATAAGCTTTGCAAAGTTTAAGGTCATTTCTGAATGGCATTGTTTGATAAATGTAACTGATCCAAATGTCAAACACAAACTGCTCCTTTATCCCTGAATATCCTGTTCCCACATGATGTTTGTGAACGTGAGCTGAATCTATCCTGTATGCATATATTTGTGCGTATAAGCAAAGGCTTGTACAATGCTGTTGTTTTAATAAAAAAAAAAGTCATTGCATAAAATTGTTCCGCATCATCTTCACTCCTCTTCCTCTGATGTAAAGCTCTGCTCCTCCTCCTTCTCTGTTTGCACCCAGATAGAAGGGATGGTCACGGTGTTCTTTCTGGCCAGGGAGAGTGCGATGCCCTTTTCATAGTAGGCGCATTCGTTGATGAAGAAGGGATAAAGTGGTTCTTTGCCCTTATATAGCAGGGTTTCTCCTGAGAACGTCTGGAACAGAGGGTCTCCGGGGTGCAGCAGGCAGAAGTCTCGGTCCTGTCAAAAACAAAAATGTCCACATTTTAAACCCTGACTGAAAGGAGATTAAGCTGTATGTGAAAACAAGAGGAGAGAATTTATGAATAAATGGAACTCTGTCCCTGGAGAGGTAGGTGGCCAGTAGATCACAGGGAAACGGACACAAAAACACACAGAATCTCACCTAAAGGTAATTTAATGTAATAAAATTAACCTTTTTGAACTGTGGGAGGAAGCTGGAGCAACATATTTAAAGCAGCACTTTTAGCCACTAAGACGCTGGACCTGTAGCATAGAGGTTTAGCACCCCTGAAGGCAACAGGCTGCACTGCACTGTCGCAAAATTAAATTGTCTTCCTTTGGGTTTTGGAATCTGGTAATGCAAGGTCATGTTCACTTCTCCAGATTAAATCCTACATCAGAGAGTCAAATGTGTATATAGGCAGGTAAGTGTCTGTTTTGGTGCAGTACTTTTTAAGAGGAGTTTAGGCTGCCATAAAGCACAGCTCTTGGTCACATGAATCATTTAGTAATGGATCTAACCCTCTCAAGTTATGCAGGAGTTTTTAAGAAGGGCAGAAAAATTACCTGAATAATCATTTTATATATTCCAAACCAATGTAATACCTAGGTCAGTTTCTAAAATGTTGTTTTAATACCACAGCATTAAAAAAGAAAAGCTTTATATCAGGTACAAGGCAAGGATCTATGAAAGGTTATCAAAAATATAATCATTAGTGAAAATGCATAAAAACTTTGAATAAATTATGAATGTATGGGGGTTTACAAAAGGCAATATTTACCCTTAAAATGGGGAGAAAAAAGGGAGGCAGGATCACAACTAAAGTTAAAAAAAAACTACAAGAATTTTTTTAACCTGTTATTAAAATATCTGAAAATGTAACAAGTAAGGCTAAAACAGACCAAAGGCTTACCTTCACGCAGACAAACAGATCATGGCTGTTATTAAAATGTCTTTCTCGTGACTCTTCCCAAAGAGTTGCTGCCAGTTATTGTTTATTGAGCCCTATTAGCTCAGTGTAACATTAAAAACAATTTGGCAATCATTAAAAAAAGAAAAAAAAACCCATCAGATTACATTTTCTTATCTTTTATTTTACATTTCCGTACCTTTTATAACCCCGCTGACATCCTGTACACCAAACATACACAAAAATCTGGACTTAACATGAACCATAGCAGAGAAGAAATCAACACAACAGAATTAGAACAACCTGGACATTTGAACTGATTGTTAGCTCATTGTGTAAATTATGATATTGAATAAAACATTGTCCAGTTATTAAACCTTAAGAAATAGTGCTCCAGCTTCTATTGTGTAGAACATGTTTTCTTCCTTCTAATAATTAGCTGGAATACAGACATGCCTCCAGGGCTGAATTGCAAGGGTACTCCCAGCATAACTCATCTAATGACCTTTTTTTGATAGCAGCTTCAACTTCAACCTCCTAGCTAATTGTCTCACTGTGTTGTCTCAGCAGTCATTACATTGATTCCACCTCTAGGCAATTTCTAAATAGAAAGACAACTTGCTTGCAGATGTTTAATTACCTGGAGGTGGGGATGGATGGTTGCTGTGATGTTGTGAGTCCCACCGTCTCTCGGGTAGTCGATGTTTTTAACCAAGGTGAACACCTCCACCGATCCTCCTTCAAACACACAACCTGGAGAATAAAAGGGTCTTAACCCCACTTCCTTAAAAACCGAGGCTTTTTTTTTACAAAAACGAGGATTTTATGATACTAACATGATGTTAGGATGGGTATCTCTGCATAGTTACCTTTTAGTAAAAACGCTAAAGTTTGACTGTGAGCTCTAAGATAATTAACTTTAACTTGTAAGATCAGTACAATTAATCAATTTTGTGGGTATGAATGTGAGCTGTTAAAAGCTATACACGTAACCGGGGTCATTATACACACCTGAGTTAAAATAGCCTGCCCAGTCCAGCATGTGCTGCACACCTTCTTTCATTGCCGTGTAGATGTTTGACTTGACACAGCCGTGGGGCTGAGGGCCGATCTCCATAGCTGCAAAAAGGTGGGTTTCAAAGTGGAAGTCAGTTCAGTGGGTTTTGATGCATTTATATATTAAGAGCAAAGGGTTAAAAACTCACCAAAGCCGTGTTTTCCGATTGAATCGAGGGAATATGATTCTTTATTAGGAATATCAAAATGGATGAATCTCATCGGCATATTTGGCATCTGCTTCTAAAAGAAAAATGAAACCTCAGTTTTCTAATAAAGGATCCATTTAAATCAGGTCACCCACTGGACTGAGGAATGCAGACTAGCTTCCTAAAAAGCAAGTATTGAGTATTTCTCATTTTCTTACAAGTTCCCTTTAAACAGCCAGAGTTTCATGTTAGTTTGCATCATTAGCTTTAGGGATGAGTAAAAAAAAAAAAATCATTTTTCAATTTTAAAACTATTATTTTTTAATTCATAAAGATCGAGTCGTATAACTAAAGATAAATAAATAAATAAAGTATTTCCCACTGTCCGTAAAACCACCCTATGCTTTATTAGTCCTCAATATGTTGCATAATTAAACAATCATGTCATTAAGGTAACAACTAAAATGATGTTTTTAATCCCAGCAATCTAATTTGAGGTTAAAGATAATCTGATACAGGTTGCTTTAGACCGATGCAGATATGATTATTATTTTTATCATCTGTGCTGCCAGGTTTTTTGGGATCAAATATTTTGACTTCTCTATTTGCGGAATAAAAATGACACCATAATAATAAAAGCTACAGAAGCTTTTCTTAAAAAGAAAAAAATAATAATTACTGAAAACATTAACAAAAGCAGATGTTGGGAGAAGAAACACATGTGGCTTACATTAACTCAAGGCATGGCTGCTGAATGTTAATTAATCAATTAATGCATTGTGGTATTGGCCTGTACCAATACATGTGAAAATAAATTGGAAAGATCAGATTGGAAAGAAAAGTTTAGAAAGCTTAAGAATTTAAATTGGAGCGATTCTTGACATTTGAATTATTTAGCTTAGGAAACTGCAGAAAGCAGGAAGAACTTAGCTCAACTTTAGACTTTTATTCAAAGTGCAAGGAAGATTTTTTATTTGTTGATCAATCTATGTATCAATAAGGCGTACAAAAACATAAGGTATGAACCAGTATGTTGCAAAGCTATCTGTTATGAGTGGACTTAGACAGCATAGCATAGAACCAGTTTGAAATTGTATCTGTCAGCAATATGTTACAATCAGTCACAAAGGCACAGGTTGTTCCTGTTTCTTTGGTTAGATGTAAAGACAACATTTGACTTACAATATTTTAAACATGTGAAGAGCCAAGCAGAAATAGCGATATTGACTGAAGTTGGCCAGGATCAGCTGTCTTGTTTTGAATACAATCACCAAAGATTATCAGTTTTCTCATCAGAAGTAAAAGAAAAAAGGCAACATACCTCGAACAAAGGGCTTATGCAGTGAAAACAAACACGCTCTCCTCAAAGCAGAAAAGCCACCATGCAACTCATTCTAAAACTTTAGTATTAATGTAAATACCAACTAAAAAAACGTTTATCAGACATTAACTCATATTTTAGTATCAACAAGTTTGTTTACAAAGAGATATTAGTTAAAAACTATTCTAAATGGTTAAATTGAAAGCTACAATGTGTAATGTGTATCTAATGGTCAGACTGCTGCCACATGAACCCCCCACGCCCTTAAACAACACAGAGGCCATCATGCTGCAAAATGCCTTCCGCAATATCCGCATCAAGTGAAGATGATGTTTATTACAACAGATTGCAGCATCAAATCCATAAATTGTTCAATATTGTTTTCTCAAATACATCATGAAAATATCATGGATTGACCACTGTTTAAATGAAGGTAGCCGCTAAGACGAGCTTTTTTAAATCAAAATGGAAGGATAAAGCGGGAAATGCTGTTGAGAGGTTGGTGGCTTTTAAAAAAAAGATAATTTAGCCCTTGAAGGACTGTTTCATATCCTACCTCCAGCAGGGACAGGGAACAACTGATCCCTCCTCTCATCCTGCTGTCAATTTGCCCGCTGTCTCCTATGATCCTCCATTTATATCCATCAATTAGCCTTTAGAGTCTAGCCTTGGCCTGTTGTTGCCTCTTACTGCTCTATTACCCTGACGGGGTCCTTCCATGTCATGCCGTCCTCCTCATGATAAGCCGTAGCTAGTCTACCCAGCCTTTGGACCTTTCTCCGCCAAGCAGACTAATCCGATTTTCTGCCATTCTGTTTCGATCCTCCGTGGTTAGCCTTTAGTTATCCAGGGCCAGCTGTAGCCTCTTCTGGGCCATCAGTGCTGTTTCCAAGCTGCCGCTGTGCTCCTCAGCTCTTTCTTAGTTGGCGACGGCAAGCTGCCACCACTGCTTCTGTGGTTTCTTAGCCACAAAGGGCAGCATAGCTGGCCGGCTTGTCCCAGTTATGGACCTCCCACAGCTGCAGTTCTCACACGGATTCCCCGCTGCTCCTGCCTGAGCTCTTGAACGCCGTCTCACCTTAACTCTGTCGTCCAGGTGATTCATCCCCGTTTTGGGCACTCTGACCAAAACTAACATGGACTATGTGCAGGAAAAAGATGCGAGTTCACTCAAAAAAAATATGACAAACGCAACAATAGAGGCTTGATCGTATTCATAATAAATGGGCAGTTGCCCCTTATGGCCGGTATAAGTCTAGTTTACACAAATAATTTTATAAATAGTATTTTATTGTTCTGTGTAGGTCTGTATACAGGCCTATAACTTACCACAGTCCCATTTAAGTGTAATGGTGATTTCTACTGTCACTAGTTTGTCAGTTCTGTGCTGCCGTAGCTCAAAAGATGTCTGCCTCCACAAATGCAAACCCACTCCTATGTAATTATAAATAGCAGTTTCTAAGGCAAAGGCAAATATAAAGACTGAGACTTTTAGTTCTTAGGTAATAATAAATAACACATACATATACATATATATATATATATATATATATATATATATATATATATATATATATATATATATATATATACACTATATTGCCAAAAGTATTTGCTCACCCATCCAAATTATTGGAATCAGGTGTTCCAATCACTTCCATGGCCACAGGTGTATAAATTCAAGCACCTAGGCATGCAGACTGTTTTTACAAACATTTGTGAAAGAATGGGTCGCTCTCAGGAGCTCAGTGAATTCCAGCGTGGAACTGTGATAGGATGCCACCTGTGCAACAAATCCAGTCGTGAAATTTCCTCGCTCCTAAATATTCCACAGTCAACTGTCAGCTGTATTATAAGAAAATGGAAGTGTTTGGGAACGACAGCAACTCAGCCACGAAGTGGTAGGCCACGTAAACTGACGGAGCGGGGTCAGCGGATGCTGAAGCGCATAGTGCGAAGAGGTCGCCAACTTTCTGCAGAGTCAATCACTACAGACCTCCAAACTTCATGTGGCCTTCAGATTAGCTCAAGAACAGTGCGCAGAGAGCTTCATGGAATGGGTTTCCATGGTCGAGCAGCTGCATCCAAGCCATACATCACCAAGTGCAATGCAAAGCGTCGGATGCGGTGGTGTAAAGCACGCCGCCACTGGACTCTAGAGCAGTGGAGACGCGTTCTCTGGAGTGACGAATCGCGCTTCTCCATCTGGCAATCTGATGGACGGGTCTGGGTTTGGCGGTTGCCAGGAGAACGGTACTTGTCTGACTGCATTGTGCCAAGTGTAAAGTTTGGTGGAGGGGGGATTATGGTGTGGGGTTGTTTTTCAGGAGCTGGGCTTGGCCCCTTAGTTCCAGTGAAAGGAACTCTGAATGCTTCAGCATACCAAGACATTTTGGACAATTCCATGCTCCCAACTTTGTGGGAACAGTTTGGAGCTGGCCCCTTCCTCTTCCAACATGACTGTGCACCAGTGCACAAAGCAAGGTCCATAAAGACATGGATGACAGAGTCTGGTGTGGATGAACTTGACTGGCCTGCACAGAGTCCTGACCTCAACCCGATAGAATACCTTTGGGATGAATTAGAGCGGAGACTGAGAGCCAGGCCTTCTCGTCCAACATCAGTGTGCGACCTCACAAATGCGCTTCTGGAAGAATGGTCAAAAATTCCCATAAACACACTCCTAAACCTTGTGGACAGCCTTCCCAGAAGAGTTGAAGCTGTTCTAGCTGCAAAGGGTGGACCGACGTCATATTGAACCCTATGGATTAGGAACGGGATGTCACTTAAGCTCATATGTGAGTCAAGGCAGGTGAGCAAATACTTTTGGCAATATAGTGTATCTCTATAGGTAGTTTACTGCATTTATACCAGTAAATCCCTGTAATTATTATACACTGTACCTTTAATGAACATAAACTAATTGAAAAGAGTCAAAAGACTTTAAACTTGAAGTCCAGAAGCCAAATAACCAGCTGCTGTCTATGAAGATTTCATTTTAGGAAAATCTAAAATTTTTCCACCAATACACTCCTTGGACTTCCAAAGCTCAGAGTTACATAATTTCATCACATCTCATAACTAATAAAATATCTCACTAAAGTATACCATGAGCTGCAACTCCCAGGTGTAAAAGTGATGCATGTTATCTGTCATGAAACTTAAGGGAGAGAAAAATACAAATAAAACAACTTTAGTACAAAAAAACATCTAGGATTAGATTTTTAAGCCGTATCACTCAACCCTGTGATTATTTTTCATTTTTGAACCCAGTTCAATTTCTTTCCACTTCCACTTTCCAATTTAAGCTCACAATGAACATTGAAATTATGACCAGCTACAAGGACAAGACACAAAAGGAGAGAAAGAGACATAAAATACTTGATTTCTTTGAAAACTATCACTTGGAAAACTTCTGAGTAGGTCTAGATGCTAGTTCTTCACTTATATTTCCATTCATCTTTCTGTGGTTAAAAATGAGGAAAAAGTAACGTGTGTTTACCTGCAGGTATTTGAATATGTGAAGACAGATCCAGTCACAGTCGGAATAGGCGATGAAGCACAGGCCCATGTTGGCAGTGGTGTTGTGGAGGTCACAGACGAGATCCACTGCCGCCCGGCTGCCTTTGGGACCCAGCATGGCGTTTAGCTCACGAGCCTGAATGATTTCATAGGGGGCCCTCTCTGATATGGGGCCACTAGGACACACACACAAAAAAAAAACACTTCACCACAACAATCAAGAGTGTTGTAATAAAATGTTCATTCAGCCCTATTCAATGGTTTTCATATATAGGAGTGAATGAAGTCATGCTATATCATCTCAACCGATTTAAATCAGACTTTGACCAGACTACTTCAAAACCTTTTGTGTCTCAAACTTGAGGAATTCAGTCTTCTTGGAGTGTTTCTGATCCTTTTTTGCAGCCTAATCTTGACCTCAAGATCTCAAAATGCTGACCAGAAATTCTGCAATAGGTTCAATCATTTATGGCAAGTCGTCCAGGTCTTGAAGATGCAAAGGGGGTTGCATCAAACTCCCAACACTGTGACTTAAAGTTGGGATGTTAAACCTCGAAAAAACAAACTAAATATCATCGGTAAAAGATGCTCAAATCATCTCTTCTTATATTGTTTGCCCACTTCATGTTGCCAGAAAGGTTCTATCTAATTATGTTCTTCATTCTACAGTTCGGGGTATAATTGGTCAGTAAAACAGAACACTGCTTCCTTATAAAAATTCATTAAATGAAACTTAATTCATAATTCAACAAAGAGCAGAAATATATCTCTATTCCAAAGCAAAAATGATGATGATCTAAAAATATGTAGGTGTGACAAACAAAGGATGCTTTGGCAACCAAATTATTGCCTTACTTGAGGGTTGCATGGGTGAAGCAGCGGTTCAGGTCGATGTCAACATATCTACGGCAATGCTGCATGGCCCGAGGGTTGGACAGCAACATCGACACAGACGCGGGCTCTCTGTCCTCTCCCCCTTTCTGTGTCTTCATCATCTCTTGCACCAAGTACACTCCTGACAGTTCGTTGCCATGCGTGCCGCCACAAACAGCAACACGGGATAACCTTGGCAAAAGCAACGGCTCATCCACCTGCATCTAACAAGAGTTTAAAGTGGTTGTGATTTCCATGTTTTACTCTGTGTGCCGAAATGTTGAAATAAAACGGGCCAATGTGACATCAGCTTTGGACGCCACAGCACAGCAGAAAGAAAAATCTCTTACCTTGGTTCTCAGGCCTGCTGATTTAAAACAAAGTCACCACTGAGATTAACTTCGGTTTAAAGTTTCTTTGGGAAATACCGGTAAAAATGTTCACTGAATAGATTATTAATGAAAAGAGGGAAAAGGAATCATGCAGCTCATCTTTCTCCAACAAATTCCCCAGCTTTTACCTTTCTCTCCCTGCCATTTACCCACCCGTTTACACTCTCCTGTACCTTTTATGCAGTTTCACTGATTCAGCATTCCCATCTCACCCCCTGTACAAGGCTGCAGTTGCCCTGCATAATCACACTGCGCCGCTCTAGGATAGCCAGGGTGTGTCCTGAGAGTGGAAACACAGAGCATCCCTCTCTTCCTCTGGTCGCAAACAGATGCGAGTTCAAGCCAAACCCCGCCGACCTCCCTTCCCATCGTTTTCTCTATATGCTCCGTGTATAGGATGGTAGGTTCCAGCGGGCTTTTCAGATAAACCTGCTGGCATGACACAGAGAAGAGTGACGCCTGTGATGCGTGGAGAGGAAGGAACAGCTCCTCTAGTTAGGAGCAAAACAGGAAAGGGTATAGCTGATGAAGATAAAACAGGTTAAACCAAAAATCAGTTCATCAAGTGGCACCTCAAAAATCCCTATGGGATCAACTCAAACATGTTTTTATGTATAGCTTTGATTTCAATTTGATAAGATTATTGAAGATCTAATCGTACACAGATACAGAGGGAAGGGCTGATGAGCGTGGACTCATCAACAAAGTCTGGTTGAACATACAAATATGGCTGCAACTGATGATCATTTTGCGAATTGATTCATCTGTTAATTTTTTTTTATTAATTCGTTAACATTCCGGTACCAAAAGGTTCCTTAAAAATTATTTTCTTTGAGAATTTAAACCAGGTGAAACTGAAACTTTTCCATTTGAGGAGTTTGCAGCCTTGCAGCAGGAAGGTTGTGGGTTCAATACCCGACCCAGGGTCTCTCTGCATGGAGTTTGCATGTTCTCCCTGAGCATGTGTGGGTTCTCTCCGGGTACTTCATCCCACAGTTCAAAAACATGACTGTTAGGTTAATCGGCTTCTCTAAATTCTCCTTAGGTGTGAGAGTGAGTGGTTGTTTGTCTCTGTGTTGCCCAAGCTTCAAGGGAGTCGTTTTAATTATTTTAGGTTTGTGAACGAAATGCAAATGAGTCCACCACCATTCTTCTAAGCTAATGTAGCTACAATTCAATTCAGTTAATTTAGGCAGTTTATCTATGTTGACCTGAAGGCGATCCCTCAAACCAAGCATGCTTGTAGCGACAGTGGAGAGCAAAACTCCCTTTTAACAGGAAGAAACCTGCAGCAGAACCAGGCTAAGTGTGAGTGGCCATCTGCTGAGGCCGACTAGGGTTCAAGATGACAGAAGCAGAGATACAAAAAGCAACTGTCAACCAGGTCCACAGGCGGAATCGTCAAAGAGACACACAGCCTCGCAGACGAGCTCCAAGCGAACTCCCACATCAGAGGATGAAGAGAGCATATCCAGCAAGCCAGTCAGTCAGAGAAATGGGACTACACTCAAAAACAGGCCAAAGTCCAACATTTATAAACAAAGGTGTTGATGGCAGCAGCACAGCTGATATTTCTCTCCAGGATGGCGTCACCGTCAAACAAGAACAGAACAAATGAAGCTACTATGAGAAAAAGCAGAGAAAGCAGAACGTAGGATGGGAGAATAGATAGAATGAAGCAGAATAATGAAAAATGGGTCCCTATGTCCTCCAGCAGTCTAAGCCTATAGCAGCATAATTATAGAGATAGCTCAGAATAACCTGAGCCACTAACTATAAACTTTGTCAAAAAGGAAGGTTTTAAGCCTAGTCTTAAAAGTAGGCAGGGTGTCTGCCTCACGGACTAAAACTGGTAGTTGGTTCCACAGGAGAGGAGCCTGATAACTAAAACGTATGCATCCCGTTCTACTTTTAGAAATTCTAGGAACCACTAGTAAACCTGCAGACTGAGAGCAAAGTGCTCTGTTAGAAACATAAGGAACAATCAGATCTCTGATGTAAGATAGAACTTGGCCATTTAAGGCTTTATATGCAATAATAAGGGTTTTAAATTATATTCTATGCCGAGATCATACTGAAAATAATGCAGTTATAAAAAAAAAAATACTACATTTTTATTTAAAATGTTTCAAATATGTTTGAACATCGTTGCTTTAATAAACATGTACCCATCATATAAAAGATCAAAATGAGAAAATATTTGACATTTCAGTATTTATTACAGATTTTTTTTGTATTAATACAAAATACTGAACAATGTCAAGTCCCTACTCTGAGTCAAGTACATAATTCCCTTTTTCTCTGAAAAATGAAGACAATCCTCCCACTTTACAAGAACCAAAAAACAAAAAAACCTACATTTGTCAACACTAGAACGTGAATTTCTATACATGTATAAATTCATTGTGATCCGCCACATCTTTGTGTCTGAATTCTTCATTTTTAAGTACACTTACAAATTTATTAAATCCACACCCATACACACACACATACCAACGCATGAGGAAACATTTTGACTTGTTTTTGGTGTTAAATTAAACTTGCATATAAACAATACTCCTCAGCAGACAAACAGGGGAGGAGAGGGGTTGTTATATCTACTTTCACCTCAAATATTTGTTTTTAACTTCTCCTTTGCGTACCCAAAATTTACAAACCCATCATTCCTATTTTTATTCAGCTCTGAATAGAAATATTTAAGTGAGATGCAAGTGAAAAAAATACCCAACCTGCTGTTAATTTCCAAAACTTTTAAAATGTTTGTACAAGAAACTACATATGAATGCAGGTATTTTGTTCTTTTATCAGACGACACAGCGGATGAGACCAGGATGGTTGTTTTTTTTTTTAAAGCGATACATCTTTAAACCTTGTAACCGAGTTATGATTCTTATTTTTACAGTTTTATCTTCCTTTAGTCCTTGTTAAAAAAAAAAATCTTCCATTTATAAAATGACAGTGTTGATGGTCAGTAAGTGTTCTAGACGATCAAGTCTTTTCTCCAGCACACTGTGATCCATGGCAGCTGGGAATTTTTAGAAATGAAACAGCATATAGGATGGCTTACTCACAAGCACACCAACAAGCAAACCTTCACTTTTTTATATTAAGACACTAAATCAGAGAGAAACAGAAACATTTCCAAGGCCACCAGTTGACATTTCAATCAAAGTTTAAGCATATTTAAATATAACTGTATATATTAGCCAGGTTTTACCCATTTATTTATTTTTTCTTAGCGTTACGACCAGACTAGATGGTGCTGTGTGGATCAATTCATCACACAGGAAAGAGAAGTCTCCTCTCTGACTCATCTGACTTGGACACAGACTCAAATTAATTTGGAAGCACTGCTTATTTGCCCGCACCGAGCCAACTAAGAAACCTAAAAAACAAAAGAAAAAGATGATAAATCGTTCCCAGTCCTCTTGTTTACGTGACGAGGGGATACCGATTCTGAGACTTGGTAGGATGTAGAAGGCCAGATCCTTCTACAGGGGTGGTTCTCTTAGAACAGAGAGCCGCTGTAGGGAAGCAGCCGCCAAGCGGGGGGACAATCGGGACGTTGTGGAGCCGTCCGTGCGGCTGCGATGTGCTTCAGTCCAATAAGAGCGCTTCAGGGGTCAGAATATGTCCGGACAGCCCTCCCAGGCGCCGAGCTCCTTTGCCTCCCAGTAGCCTCCCTTATAGATGTGAACTCGCTCACCTGTGATCTGGTCCTCACAGCTCTCGAACCACAGCGCTTTGTGGGTGTCATGGGGTGCACCTGTAAGAGAGACGCTTGTGAAAACGTGTGGGGGACATTTTTATAGATATAGAAAGAGGGGGGGGAGGTAGTGACTGTGGGCAGATAGAAGAGGGATACTTGCTTTTCATGGAGTGATCAACAAAAGAATCCTCATCGACAGCTTTTAGAAGAGAGAAGGGCGGGATCACAGAGATTTGTTTTTATCTAATTAGCTACAGGTTTTCCCCAAAGATAGCCGTATAGAAACCCAAACCAGGACGCTAGCGCGCTCTCTTCTTACCTTCCTCAGACTGGCCTGAGGCCCGCTGGCTCGCGGCCTCTCGCTCCCTCTCACGCCGGGCGCTGCGCTGCTTCTCCTCCAGCCGCTGTTTTTCGCCGTTTGCCTCTTCCCAGCGACCGTCCTCCATCAGACGCTGATCGGGCCTGCGCCGGCTGTCGGTGGGCGCCACCCCCTCTTCGGGCTCGTTCAGGGTCAGAGCCAGGGCGGTGAAGTAGTACATGGATTCTGCTCCGTCGCTGCAAATACAAACACTTCAGCCTATCATGGCATATATCAGATGGTAGCAAACTATTTACACCTGAGCTGTTAGACTTGTTTTAGCTTATATTTATGTGAATCAACCTCAAAAAACCAAGGCTATGAACCAGAAAACTTTACGTCTTTGTAGAGACAAACAAACAAGTTAGGCAACTTTTGTTGTTCAAAGAAATTTAAAGATTGTCCTTGACTCATGCTGTCTAACAAGAAACTATATATAAAAACATTGATTTCTTTTGAGTCATCTTTTAGTGAGAAGACAATTCTGGTGCAGGATTCTTGGATAAACCCTGGATTTTAAGGCTGAGGGAAGGAGACCACAACATTCTGCAGACCATTAAGTCAAACAAAGTTTGAGTAGCAATGGATTCTAGTAAATTAAGTTATATTATCATGACGCTTCCACCAGAATAGATAACAAGGTTTGATGAGTAAAAAGGAGACATTGCTCTTTGATAACGAGACAGACACATTAAGAGATACCGTTGCCACCTGAGAAACTGGACTTTCCTCTACCTTTCAACCTTCCTATCATTCTAGGTGCAACCCAGAGATGCAGGTGTTTATTCACAGCTGTTTTTTTTCCTTTTTAAGTTCTGTACATTCTGATCTCTATCTGTAATGACACTAATTACTCACGCATGTTAGAATGTGTGCCGCATTTTCTCTATTAAGACTATAACAATAGGTAATCCACTTGGAAATAGTACTCGAGGAAGAATAACTCTTTGTAGACGTAAGGTGGCCAATCCTACTTTAAAATATGTTGACGATCTATCTAGGTCAGCATAAATAGGCCAAGACTGCTGCATGTGTCTATTAATACTATATAAACTCATTGCTGATACATAAGAAATAAAGCTAGGTAGTCCAATGAAATGTAAGGGTGCGATTTCCTTCTTAAAGTTAAAACATTGTTTAATTAGTGTGCAATGAATTGTCATTTTTCTGTTTTGCTTTGATACTTCAGGCTGAATTGTAACTTAGTTGGTCAGCTAAAATGATTTAAACTTAAATCATTTTTGTGACAGTGACTCGTGCTGGCAGTGAACTTTCACCTTCAGGATTTATTAAAAGGTTGTGCAGTAAAACCTATAATTAACTGAACAAAAGAAGTGGCTCAAATAAACAACAGTTATTAAATGTTTAGCTATGCATCACCTCTGACCTTGCACGACAGGCTTCACATAGCTCTGCAAAAGATAAGTCCTTACGGTAAAGGGTGTCTTTTCCAAAGCTCCCTGGCCTTGAGGGTTTGATAAACCGTTTTCTGTTTGCCCTCGGCGCCGTTCTCTCCTCCTCGACTGCTCTGCATGACCCTGGAGAACTCCATCTTCTCATCCCATGTGCCCGACAGCACATAGTGAGCCTTCCCGTCTTTATCCATCACTACCCCCGTCACCTTTAAACACAGGACACGCAGCTCAAAGTAACAAAAGCAGGGGGAAAAAAAAAAAAGAAGGAATTGCTATATAAAGGTGCTTCTGTGTCTTCCTGACCTTTCTGGCTACGTCTCGGGAAAAGTAGCTGTAGGGAGCAAACTTCAGGTGGCAGCGATCTCCTGTGGTGTGGTTTACTATGTCGATTTCTCCAGACTGAGGCGAAACAGAAAGAGTTAGTTAACACAAAAAAAGGAAATTATCTGCTTCATAACAACCAATTAAATGTAAATGTGTTAACACAGCAATATTCTACCAGCTAGATTTAATTAAATTTTTTCACTTTTTCACTACAGATATGTTTTTATATTTTCCACTGTAACAGGTTCCTTTGTTCACCAGTAGTCCAGGCTCAGTCTTGTTACAAAGACTGGTGGTTTACTGTGCTCAATGCTCCAACCTGGTGCTTAGCAGTGCCAATTGTGGAATAATTCTTAGGCCAAACTATATACGTATTTACATGGAGAAGAGAAAAAAAAACCCGGCAAACATTTTTGAATCTCTAGTTGAATCTTCTAGTTGCCATTAATGCAACAAAAATGGCCGCCCTCATTCAAACAGGCCTCAATAATCCCAGATTTCCACTTATAAATCAGTTTTATCAGTATATCATCAGCATAAATCTGCATTGTCTACTGATGGTGGTCAGAGGGCGCCAGTGTACGGCAGCCCCACTTCTGTCAGTGAGCCCCAGGGCAGCTGTGGCTACAATGTAGCTTGCCACTATCAGTGTGTGAGTGTGTGCGTGAATGAATGTAGTGTAAAGCGCGTTGGTAAAGTTTTCTGACTTGAATAAAGGCGCTATATAAGTACATGCCATTTACCATTTACCATAAATACAGAAAAACATAAATTCTATATTTCTATTCCTTTCCACAAGGTTATCAGATTTATACCAACACAAACCGAAGGTGAAAATGTCTTTAAAAAAACAAACATCTAGGCAGTTCAGTGAGTCAGATGATGATGAAGACATCACTTCTGCCAGCTGACAAACCTGGCATTTTACTAGCTAACTGGGTGTTGCCTCGGTTTCGAGGCCAACAATGGTGCCAACAGACAGGAATTGTAAGTCATCCCAGCAAACAAACCCAATAAACCGAGCTGAAATATTAAGTGTGCGGCCTTAACACTCCAGTAGGTAACTAGGCAGAACTTTTATGTGTGTTTTGCTGCTTGAACGCGAATTTCTGATTTTTGCAAGTATGGAACAAGTAAAGACCAGCAGGAATGTGTGTGTTTGTGTGTGTGGGCGGGAAAAGTCAGTTAGGCAGCTGTCAGCGACAAGACCATTTGGTCACGTTTTTTTTATTTTTATTTATTTTACAGATGCTATGAAAAAATGTAAAACTTTTACGCTTTCAGTAGCTCCAAAAATCACCCAGATGTGCTCAGTTTCTCAGTTTTTAAGAAATCCAATAAGGAATTATCAATACATTAAAAAAAGAATAATAACCACATTTATTTCTATTTGAAAATATCAAAATTATCCATTTAAGTTTACATAATTATAAATGCCCTGGGGTAAAACACTTTCAGTCAAGACCGAACCAGTTGTCATTTTTTTATGTTATAACCTTTGTGCAAAGTAGAAAGCTGAGGAAGTTGTAAACCCTGTGCAGCCTGGGGTGCTCAGTTTCATCAGCATCATCTATATTTCTCAAACAAAAGTCGCTTGAGGTGTTTTATTAAATTGAATAAGGTCTTTAAGTCTTAACTGCAAAGCAAAGGAAGAAAATTAAAAAGCAGATTTGGTTGGTAGTATAGAACTCAAAGAAAAACTCAAAGACTGACATTGACACTTTATAAAAAGATTTTGAAACTTATTTTTTGGGTTTTTTTTAATGCAAATGCTAAAAAGAAATGCAAAGGAACTAGTTCTTAAACAGTTTCATTTTTAGATTTACTTGGTAAAACATATCGGCCTGGTGTTAAACAATGAATATGCAGACAAGCATTGGTGTAAAATCTATCTGGCTGCAGGTCTCTAGTCTGTGTCTCTTCCACAGGCTATGAGAATATTCTAAAGAGAACAAAAAAACATAACCTGAATGATCAAAAGAAAAGACACAAAAGGTTTCTTATCCCCAGCTTGATTATTGTCACGCTAGAATCATTTCCTGATAACTCATTGAAAAACTGGTTCTCCAACAGTTTTATTTTTATTGGAACCATTGAACTGTTAAGTTCAAAGGTACAGTTTGGTACAGTAAATGGTGCAAAGGTCCCATTTAAGTTTCAACTTTTTTTTCTTTAATTTAGACAGGGTACCCAACACTCTCACCTGATCAATCCACAGCTTCCCAACTATGATGTTGTGCACTGTGGTGGTAACCTTCTTCCATGTGTAGTGATTGTTGCTCTTCTCAAAGATGGCATGAATTGTGCCTGTGGAGAAAATGAGTACAACAAAAAAGAAGACTAAGTATCCTATAACAACATTACTGACTAATAATACCCAGAAAAAAAGAACACAGGTGTGTCAGAAATTTTCCTAGTAACGTCAGATTATACAAAAAACACTACGTCCATTTGCTGTAGTCCTTTTGTTTTATCAACCATAGAAAAAATGCAGAAACTGAATCACACCCTGGACTAAACCCAACAACAACATCAGATTGTTATAAATCATCTCTCACCTAAGGGCATGATTGACAGGTATTTGCCTCTAAACTTGCTGGCAACAGTGATCTCCTGCCTGAGGGTCCACCCACGGTCAGAGATTGCGTGATGCGCCGCGGCAGGGGGGTGGTGACTCACCTGGTGAAGGAAATGAATCGATTTAAAAAATAATTCATATGGAGAAATTATGGGAGGTGGCTGTCTAGCTGGAGTTGAAGCACAATGACTATTATAAAACAAGCATTCAGTAAATCTACATCCTCAAAGAGATTAAAGAATTTCCTCCTATTATTCGATCGACTGCATGGCAACACAAAGCTTTAATCACTAACATTGTGTGCGTGACAATGCATGTTTTTCTTTTTTTTGTTGCTTACTTTTTTAGCTCTTTAGAAGCCATTGATAAAACAATGAAGGCTTTCACTGCTCGTCATATTCAACAATTCTGCATGATTATTTTCCTCTTATTTTACCCAAGTACCTGCTCACAGAGGGAGCGGTAGCCGCTCTCTCTCTGGCGGTCCAGCTCGAATGTCTCTCCCAGCAGAGGGTTGAAGGGTTTCCCCGTGCGGTACACTGTCGTGGAGTAGGCGGACACGCAGAAGGCCACCACGTAGCACATCTGCTCCAGGGAGCTGTGGCACTTGGCCGCCTTGTCCAGCAGCTCGTGATACTCAAGGTCCTCGGACAGCCGCTGCAGCATGGAGATGGGCTCGTTGAAGTTCACCTGGAGAGAAGCATTTCATACAAGTGAACAAATAGAGCATAGAGTTAAAGGCACACTGTGCAACATTTTTCAGTTAATTAATGTGTTCCATAACGTTTTGGATGATTAAATGAGTCATTTCAGGTTGAACAAAGGTATTCTCGGCCGCCCTGGTGGTCTGTGGGGGAAATACCGCACTTGCAATTGCAGGAGCACCGACCCGCACCCACAGGCTCAGAAGTCTCGCGAGAGTCGGTCTTGCTTTACGGCGAGAACTGCTACACCCCCCAGTTAAAAGCATGCTCGTTGCTAGCACAGTGGCGATCTTTGTGCAGTGCTGCTTTCACACCTGACGCAGCAAGAGCAGCAAAATCGCATCTGCTGCTTCATTTTTGCTGCTTGTACCAGTTAGTTCTGACGCGCGGCTGAAGCAGCTTTGCTGCTCTGGTTGCGCGGTGCAAAAGTGTGTCTGACGCGCGTTGGGCGGAGCTTCACTATCCTTTCTCTGCCTTGCAGCTATATTTGCTGTGATCAGTGGGAATAAAGTAGTTTTAATATGTTTGTAAGTGAGAAAATACACCTGAAATCGTAATCAGTGCAGTCAGTTCATTCAGATTATCATCCTGCCTTCCAATATTTTTTCAGACCCCCACATAGCAGCGGTGCGCCGACAGTAGGAATCCCTTCATCAGCAGCCTCTGGCCGGGTCGCCTCCTCGCGGTTCACCGCGGCAGCTGGTAGGTGTTTTTCATCTAAATAATCCAAACTGCAGGCAGCAGGATAATAAAAGCCAAAATATTCTGCCGGCAGATTTCTGCATTTTAAGTTAATTTAGGCGTCAATAAACTGTTTAGGAGGAGTGATCATAGCGCTCTGATCATCAGCGCTGTGTTTCTCTCCCTGCCAGCTCCCAGATCAGCTTCTCTGATTGGTTGACGTGGCGCGTCGAGCAGCAAAAATTCAATTTTTCCATCTCGAGCAGCAGCGCGTTTGCGGCGCGTCACGCGCGTCAGATGCTTAGTCATACGTTGCGTTAGCCTGTCTGCTAAGCTCAAAACAACCGCGCCTGGCTTGACGGAGAAACCAGGAGAACAGCTGTGCATATTTACGACAGTGCACTTTTACTTTCGCCCTCTGGGGGGAGCCTCGCTGGAAAATTAACACCGGTTGCATAGTGTACCTTTAAGTCCAAGGCTTCTTGAGCTGACAAGGAAACACAGCAAGTGACTTTTTATTTAGTTACCCTTGGTGAGACTCTTTAGAATAACTAGGAAAGGTCTGTCCTAAATCTTTTCAAGCCATGCTTGAAGCACCTTCACACAGTCCTGAATCTTAATTTTATTCAATCTGTTTTGAACATGTCTGCAGAGGTTTTATGCAAATTTGACGTTGCTTTCCATAGACATTTATCAAAATTTTGTGCCAGTATATTTCCAGTATATTTCCGGGTGGATCATTTAAATAAGTGGACCTGCTAACTGTCAATCATTCTAGTTATATGTTTACATAAAGACACCCTACATGCTCATTCAATTAGCTATATTTTTTCTGTGCATGCTCACTTTCAGGCATATATCTGTGGTGAGCTATAGTTCAAACCAGTCATTGAAACTCACCTTTCTCACCGCGGTTCTTTGAAAATGGCCATGGGTTGTAAGAGAAAATGGTCTACAAAGTGTATGAAAGGAAAGCTCTCCTCGCAAAGCATTATGGGATAATGCTGTCACAGTGGCCCGCTGTCGCTACCTGACAGTGGCAACTAATAACAAAGATGGCGCAGGTACCGCGCACTGGAGGAGGAGTTACGTGAGCAACTGGGAGCAAAAAGTGGCAATCATCTGTCCGAACGGTCAGTTAACTGAGTTGGCTATAAAGTCCAGTATATAGTCCCCGCTCTATATAGTGAATGAGGGATTTATGGGTTAGGGCGGACGTTTATACATGCTAAGTTTGTATGAGTGCTGCAAACAGCAACATTTAAACAGAGCATGCAAGACGAGAAATGGGCTTATGCATGTTCTCCCAGGCGTTGAATACGCGTTCCCTCTCGGGTGCGGGTACAGGGCTGTGTTTTTTAAAGTGGAGAGATTGGGTCTTTTAAAAATTCACAAAAATCCTCCACAATATTTTGAGGTCCCCCTCAACAGTTTTATAAAAAAACTGTTTCTGTTAAGTTTTTGTCATCCCTACTTGGCTGAGTCTCTTCAGCCAAACCCCTCTAGGGCTACCATAGCTCTATAAAAAACCGCAATAGAGCATTTCCATTTCTTTATAATTGTGTGTAATAAGCAAAATATGAAAATGATAACCAGACCTGCACTGGGATGGTAGCCAAAGAAGAAAACAAAGCCGTGAATCAGATCTCTAGTTCAAAATAAACTTCCTCATACCTCTTTTCAGACATAAGAACTAGTTTAAACATGTAGAAATTACAAATGTTTGTAATTGTATAGTTACTGGTTTGTCAGAAATAAAGTAATTTGTTCATTTATTAATGAATTTATTATTTTTATGTGTGGATTGTTTGCAGCCAAAAAGTGAATCCACTCCCCTGTTCCTAAATACCACACAATGCAACACTTCAACATGAACTGACAGACACTGAGCGAGGTTGGGCTATTAATTCCTGAGAGTCAGGGCTGCCTGACTCATAATTTTGCTGTGCCTTTGTGCTGAAAACACAAAATGTAAAAGCAACATGGAGAACTCCAGCCTTTAGAGGACAGTGAAGCAAAGTTAATTTAACAGTTTGTGGAAGCTCCACATGGCGATGGCAGATGTGGTTTTGAAGACGCCAAATGCATGAATGCATCATGAGCACTGATGTTCTTTTGGGCAAAGGAGATTCTATTATTGAGATGCAGTTTTACAAGTTTAGCGACACAATCTCCCCCAGAAAAAGGAGAGCAAAACTGAGCCTTTTAACTGGTTATGAAAATTAAAGTCCAATTTTCTAATAAGTCTGTCTCTTTAATGAATCACTTTAAAATGGATAAAATATATGAATCAAAAACAGCTTTTGATGTGCAGAAATATCTCAAATCAAGCAACATGCAAACCTTCAGCTGCATCCACATTTCATCAGTGTTACAGCATAGCCAATGTCTCAAAATTAAACAGCAGTTGAGAAAAATCTCTCCTTAGAAAGGACGAAATTCAATACAGAGACGTCAGGCATGATGACCTCCTTTGTATTTTAAATAAACAAGTCTTAATAACTCATTATTGAGCTACTCTATTCTGGTTCATAGTTTGACTCCTAAAGATTGTCACTGTGCCGGTTCTGCAGGAATGAGGATCAAAGCCTGTTGTTTAACAGGATTTTAACAGCTGAGCCGTGTGCCAAGAAATGTAAAAAGGCCCTGCGGCGTGTTTTAGTCCTAAGATCAGAATGTGTAAGAGTTTGTGCTATTGTCATAAAAATAAAGGCAACAAGGTCATACTGCTTCAGGCTGTTATGTTTAAACCTATAATCACCCTTATGGTCAATGTTAGTCATTGTTCAAGGCTTGATTTACTTAAATGTGTATTTAAAAGTTGATTGACTTGTGTCTTCTTTAAGCCATTGCTGGTTTATTTCTTACCGGATTTAACAGATAAAGCTTAAGTAAAACATAAAAAAAACATGTATAAGAATAATAAACTTAAAATCTAGCAGCTACTTATAGGCACTCAGTAGTTGCTTTGATTTGTTATTCTAATAAAATGTGTAAGAAATATTCTAGGGCAAAGTAAGTAATTCAAAACGGCATGTGTCAAAAAATGGGCCAAAATCAACAGAGTGGAACACGTGAACATGGAGGACAAGGGAAACTCAGACCCAAAACTGCTTGGTGACAGGATTATAAGTGCAGTAACATTACTAATCAAAGGAAGTGATATTTACATATATTAAAAAAGTATTTTTGTCATTTGCTTGAAATGACCTATATTTATGGTATAAATAGAATGACCGAGAGTGAACCTAAATTGTTTTTTGTGTTGTTTTTTTTTTTTAGTTGTTTCTAAACTTTATTTATATATTCTTTTTATTTTAAAGGAATAGTACACCCAAAACATGATTAGCCTTCATTTTCTACTCACCCCCATGCTGAACAACACTCTGGAGTACTTTTTTGATATCTCAAATGCATCTGGAGATCTGGGAGGCTTCTTGCTGTCTGCTGACATTCAAATAATGGAGGTCTATGGTGCCCGAGACAGAAAGGTCCATAAAAGTCCACAAAAAACGTGTCAATATTCCTCCATACTGCTCGTCCAATGTATTCCAAGTGTCCTGAGTGGGTAGCATCCAGAATTTACTCGAAACGAAGTCATATAGAATGTTTTTAGAGCATAAACAGTAGTGTATAGGATTTCCTAAAAGCGAGTTCACGACTCTACGGAAACCGCGGCAGACCAAACGAGATAAAAGTGCGCATTCAGCTCGGCAAAGAACTCATGCTCTTCCTCAACACTGAAGTCCTCAGACATTTTTCTTTCGTTGTTTCTTTCTTTGCACAGGTAAACAGCACTTTTCTTCTTCTACGCTTGCATTATTGGCAGAGCAGACGCTGAATGCGCACTTTCATCTGGTTTGGTCTGCCGCGGTTTCCGTAGACTCGTGATCGCGCAGGTGCGCGCTTTCAGGAAATCCTATACACTACTGTTTATGCTCTAAAAACATTCTAAATGACTTTGTTTCGAGTAAATTCTGGATGCTACCCACTCAGGACACTTGGAATACATTGGACGAGCAGTATGGAGGAATATTGACACGTTTTTTGTGGACTTTTATGGACCTTTCTGTCTCGGGCACCATAGACCTCCATTATTTGAATGTCAGCAGACAGCAAGAAGCCTCCCAGATCTCCAGATGCATTTGAGATATCAAAAAAGTACTCCAGGGTGTTGTTCAGCATGGGGGTGAGTAGAAAATGAAGGCTAATCATGTTTTGGGTGTACTATTCCTTTAATGGATGTTTTAGTGTTTAGCTGTGTTCTGCTCTTTTCTTCAGCTGTGGCTCTAAAGCCGGGCGTACACTGTGCGATTTTTTCAATAGTGGAACGCAGCTACAGCTCACACTGTACGAATAAAGCACAGGGTGAGTTCAAAGCTCACAATGTATGTGAGCTTTGAACTCATGCGATCTACCTGCTCACACCGCAGGACTAAAAAGCACGTCGGACTCAGCTCCGCAGTGAGATGGAGCTGCTCTGCCTCGTCTATCCGAAGCCAAACAAATAGAAGGGGAATATGAAGCTCACTAGAGTGAAACACGCTGCCTTCGTAATTTCTTCAATTTGTGCTGAAAGCCCTAAAAAGAAAAGGCGACGATAATTTGAAAAAAAGACATGACTGACAAACGTGGTTACTACGGTCTTTCAGTTTTACAGACAGAACTACATTTCACTCACTGCATCTCTGCCATGCTGCTGTGTTTACATCTGAGAGGAAGAAGAAAAAGAAGAATCCTTGTTTGAGCATGATTTTCTCCCAACCTCACGATTCCTGATAGGGAGGTGGCCATGATAGGCTGATCGCCCCTCGTAATCCCCCGATCAGGCATAAAGTTGGCCCGATCGAAAGATTCGAAAGACAGGACTGGAAAATCGCCCCGATAAAAATCGCACAGTGTACGCCGGGCTTTATAAGGCACTCTATAAATAAAGCGGCTATAACTGCTTTGGCCTGTAGCTTCTCTGCACGTTCAGCTTAATTCAAAAACTTTGACTTTTTTTTTTTCTTTGAATGAGCAAAATGATTACAGATCAAATTAAATTAACTGAGGAGCACCTGGGTGTGATACCGTGTCCCACAGATGAGTAGAAATATCTGATAAACATCCTTCAAGTGGAGCATGGTTATAATATTGGTTTATCGCACAGAGAAGAAAATAACCAACTTCTTCCTTCTCGTCTGTGCCAACGCCCTGTGCACTTCCTTTCAAGTATTTCATATGAAGAAAATTATTTTGTCAATTTATTACCTCTCTGGTTTTCCCCTGAACTATAAAAGCTGATGCCAGTTTAGTGTAATTAATTACTCACTGGCATTGGTATCTTGGACAGATCTTTGCCGATGCAATTCTTCATGATGCTCCAGAGGTTCAGAGAGTAGTTGGGCTTGTCTGGGATGCGCGTTCGTCTCTTCCTCAGCGGCACCAGCTCCTGTGAAGGGGACTCCTGGTTCATTGCCAGAGGCTCCTCATTGAGCTGCGCGCAGGAAACGTCTCTGATTAAATTGAGTTTTTCATGTTGGTGCAAAAGACACCGAAGCAAGAAATGAAGACCTACCGACTGATCATCTGAACACATGTCACTATTCAAACCACTCGCATTGCTGCTTGAACGTCTGAAAGAAATGGAAAAAAAAGAAATGTTGTATAAGTGATTCATTAGTTGGATGTTTCTAAGCACTTTAAGCTACAAAAGGAAAAACAGATAAATAAATCTAATTTCACTATTTTAACAATTCTCTAATATCTATGCAGCAGTAAGAATTAGTTTTGATCTTCTGTTAACAACAACTCGGAAGTTATAAACACTTACATGCAAGACAAAATACAAAGAAAGGAGGAAATATGTTTGATAAATCTGTGATGTGCTTGAAGAAAGGGACACTGACTTGTGAAACTGAGGGTCTGCAGGTACGGTTATGAACTCAGGTGCGTCCTCCATAGCATCGAAAAACTCGTTATCGTCATCCTCGTCGCTGGCCTCACCTTTTCCAGGCCCAGCAGCGCCTGGAAAAAACAATTGGCTCATTTTTTCTTTCACTTCAATGGAAAACGGTAAGGATTCAGCTCAGTACCACCTGCTGTCATCAAGGGAACTCTAACGTGTATACCACCATTACGTTATGTGGGATTAATGGTAGGGAGCAGACAGCAGGCGAGTTTAAATGTGATGTTATAGAAGTTTTAAAGTGAAAATGCTTAGAAATGCAACATAAAAATGCATTTGTTTAAGTTAATTATCATGTATGAATCATCAGTTTGCTGATTGAGGATTTCTGGCAAAGCCAGATTTAAGAGGCTATGATGAGTGAGCAACAGAAAGAGAAACAAATAAGTGTGATCCACTGTGAGTCACCCTCACCTTTATTGTCCGCACTGCTGTGAGCCTGCGAAGCCCCTCTGAAAGCTCGCTCCAGGTGATTGTGCTGTTTGGCCAATTGCTCCAAGGCCTCCTCCAGCCGGACCCTCTGCTCTCGTTCGGCTTGCAAGGCTTTCTGCCATCGCTTGCTGTGAGTCTGTGCCAGGGTCAGGAAGTCCCTGCAGGCCTGGGGGCAATACACAGAATACACAAAATAAAAAGAGGTTGATATAAAAAAAAAAAAGGAGGGATATTTTTGGTTTTATCAAACAAAAAATATTATAAGACAGGTCAGCTTTAGTGTATAATAAGTTATTATTAAGTGTTTTATGCAGCTTTAGGAGTGGCATTATAAAGAAAAAATTTTTGTTTTTTGTTAATTAAGCAAATAATATGAATTACCACAATCCTTTTATCATAACATCTTCATAGATTGAGCGGGTGACACTTACATTAATCATAGCATTAGAAGTTATACGGAACAGCGTGGCTCTTTCTGTCACCTGACGAATTTTATCCCCAGCTTCTCCGGTCAGCCGTAAACTGTCCAGTTCAGATAAAGACCTGAAATACAAAAGCATCAAGACAGATTTACTAAAAGGATTGTATTCTGTTTAAGGTTTAAGGCTTAGTAAATTAATTCAGTCAGAAGTAAAACTGGAAAAACAAAGTCTGAGTGATGCTGTCTGTAAGGTGATGAGCTGTGTTACACTGACCTCTGCAGGGCAGAGCCGTGCTTTGAGATCAGATCGTTGCAGGTGCTGAGATCCTCCACTTTACTGCCAAGCGTTCTGAGTGTGGACTGGACCTCCGAGTTCTGGGAACCCCCACCCTGTCCTCCGCCCACTGATGATGAGGGGAAGTCGTCACCCGAGTCGTCTGTTTACGATTAGAGCAAATTTAGGAAAAAAAAAAAAGATTTTATGACTTGTAAGGATGCAAAGATAGCAACAAAAAAAAAAGAAACTGGACTTAAAATTTAACTTAGGGGAGTTAGATGTTAAATATGAATGCAACATAATCATAAAAACATTAAAATAGAAAAAAAGGGGATAAAAGTAAATATAATTTATGACATGTCTTTTTTGACCACAAGGGGGAGCTTTGACCTCTAAATTACCTTATTAAGTACAAAGCTCACTCATGGGTCACAGTTTAAGACAAAGTATTTTAATAAGTTGAACGTAGTTTTATTGGAATTTTCTAAAGTGACAGACCAACAAAAATGTATGGATAACTGAGGAGCGGATGAAAAAAAAAGTGAATTTCAAAACTTAATCACAACTAAAGTTCTAAAAAAGTATGTAGAACAATTATTCTCAGCCTCCTTCACAAATGAAAAGAGCAAAGGAAAGCCAATTTGAGGAGAGGAGTCCTTTATTGTTGCTTTGTGTTTTGTTTTTTTAACAATGAGATAAATTATCAGCTATGTATCATTTAAGCCGCTTATCCTTCATCAATCTAAAAATGTGTTCTCTTCATCCTCCAGAAGGTTTATTTCTTAACTCAAACAAGGACCCGCAGTGTTTCCATCTCACTAATAGTTGTGTGATGGGTTAAGAAACGGTGCGAATATGCAGGCTGAAAACGTGTGCACAGACGTGCCGGTCACAGTTCGCTCAAATATGTGGGGGGAATTGAGGGTCTCAAAGTGCAGTTTTCATTTGAAGCATTTGTGATGCTAATAATTAATATTTACATCTTAAATTCTAATGGAGTAGAGCTTTGACTATAAAGAAGCTTTTCCTAAAACATGTCTACTCCTGCTTTACTAAAAGTCATGAAGAAAGAAGCAAGACAAGCGTCTTCTATAATCATTTATTAAAAAAATTATTAACTGATAAGATGCCTGGCTTTCTCAAAAGTAAAAGATCTAAATAAATAATTTAAGGGCTTCTTTAACCTTCAAACTTAAGATATACATCCTGCAAAATGGGCAAAATGTAGCCAAAAAACAGAACAAAAAATGGAACACAGATAACACACTAATCTGTTTGCAGTGTTGGGCAAGCTACTTGTCCATTGTAGTGAGCTAAGCTATCAGTTACTCAGCAATAAATTAAGCTTCACTACACAAAAGCTACCACCTAAAGAATTATAGCAAGCTAAGTTACACTAATGTGTTAAAAGTAGCTTAACTACATCAGAAGCTACTTAACGTTGTACCAACCTAATATCAATTCAAAATGAGTCTGACACACTGGTTAAAATATTTATTAAAGATCAGCCAATGACATAACACATTGCTTTATGATCAGCATATTAAAATAAAAACTAAAGTAATTACTAGTAGACAAACTAGTAAACAATCTGCTGTTATTAGAACCAAATTAAAGTTACTGTGTAGTGTTCTACACATCGAGACATGGCTATGAGTTTGCATTCAATGGACATCTCTAGGGAAAACGAAACCCTACAAAAGACCTCAATTAAACAGTTGATTCAAGTAACAAACAAAACTGTTTACAAAAGAAGGTGAAAAAATAAAGAAGCTAATTAAGAGATACATATATATATATATGTCTCACCATATAATTTAATTTCTACCTACATATTTATTCATTGTATTTTTGGAGGCAATAATTAAATGCTTATTTATTTATTTATTGAGCATTTATTTATTTATGTATTTATTTTATATACGGTAGAGCTGTTCCTCCATAAAAAATGTTATCTGTGCAAAGCCTAAAAACAGATTTATGTAAACATCCTGTCAGGTAAACTAGGCCATGAAAATACAATATCGAAGTTTCACTACTGCTGTCTAATTAGAGTATCTTAGTGGCACATAGATATGGGAGAATTATCCTGCCATAATGCAAGAGCACATAACTTCAATTAGAGAAAAGAATTTCATCTTCTTGCTCTCAAAACTTATAATGCTCACACTCAAAACATGCGCTCTCTCTCAAATCTTTTCTCTTCTCTCTCAAATCTTTGTTTCTTCTCTCAGATTTAATGCTTCTTGCACAGATATTTTCTCCTCTCGCTCGCTTCCTTCTCCCCGCGCACAAACCGCGCTCTGTTTGAGTCTCAGATATGCTCGCAAACCCGTAGACTCTGCTTGCGGATTTGTTTTGCTCTCTCTCAGACTGTAGTTGGATCGTCGCCTAGCAACCTTTCCAGCCAATAGAACGACAGCCTCGGAAAGGGTGCGCTTGTTTAACCCTACTGAGTGTGCCTGTGCTACTACGCCGCTTATAAGAGCGCCAGCTGAAACTGCTATTTACAGTAGTTTTGTGGCTGATTGTTGTTTAGAAATAGAAAACCTGGTTTCATTTCTTAGTTATGCCCTGGATTTTGTAGCGTTTGTGGACGCTACGTCGCTACTTGATCAAAACAATAACGTCCCTACAGGAAAGTTACTTGATAAATAAAGCAGCGACGCTACGGTCAAGCTACTGGAAAATGTAGTTAAACTAATAGCTTCGCTACATGTAGCGGCGCTACTGCCCATCACTGTCTGTTTGGTGCAAAATATAAAACGGAAACAGACTGTACTTCATTTTTTTTTTTTTTTGAAACAAAAGAACATTGATTTAGAACAATTCAAAATCTTAGTTCACCCGGACAAAATTATTAGGGTCCATCTAAAAAAAAAGTGTGAGCATAATTCCATCACCACCATGTTTTCAGGGTATGATATTACTAAATCTGGGCTTTGAGAAGTTCACGGCAGCCCGAATGTTCCTGTGACATTAATCCAGACATTTAAGAAACTAGAGGATGCTGCTGCATGCAAAATGCCCCCTATACTAACTTTTTAAGTGCTGTCATCAGCCTGAGTTAAACTGTCCATCATAGTGAAACAGTTTATTCCCTGTGCCACAAACCCTGGCTTCCTCCACACAGATATGTTTGCCAACAAGTGACACAGCAAACATCATAACACATCAAATTGCTAGATTAAAAGCAAGAAAAAATCTATATGGGCTATATTTTTGATCTTGACTAACCCCTAACCTATATTCAGATGATCTAAAAAGAAGTTAGAAGGTGAAAATATGAGAATATTTTTGGACCACATCTTGTGATTACATTTGAGTGTTACAGAGGTCCTTCACAGCCCCCTATCCTCCTGACTACTGGATACATCTCTTTTATGCACTAGAAAAATGATCCACAAATGAGTAAAAAATATTATTAAATTAATTTTATTTACCCTTAATTTGAGTAGGTAAATAAGATGACCTGCCAATGGAATTAGTACTTTGAACTTGAAATAAGATATTTAGACAAAATGGACTTGAAATAAGACAATGTAATTGTGTTTTCTTATTTTAAATGTAAATTGTCTTGTTCAATTGCAAAATGTCTCTTTTACTTTCTCAATTCAAGAACAAGTGCACTTATTTTAAGAAAAAATGACCTATCTAAATTCTGTTTTTTTTTCAGTGTGGCATGCCTCAACCATCAGCATGCTATGCAGCTCTTAAGGGCCATAGTGCTGTTTAAAAACTCTAAGAGAATGGATTAAAAACTTGCTTTTCTGGATATCCTGGTGTGATAATGCTTTCCCTTGGTTTCATTAAAGTAGTAACACATTTGTTACCATTATGATTGTTGAGCCACAGATGTAAGATATTTCTTACAAATCCATTGTAAACAATTTTCAAAGGGCATAGGAGCAAGGAGCTTAAATAGTTAGAGGGAAGTTAGCTGCTCACGCTAGCATTGCCATGGACATTAGCAGAGCGTGGCAGTATACATTTATATATATAGCGTCACATTTTATTAGCAGAAAAGGATATTCACATTGCTCTATTCGTCTTTGATCATGCAAACGAAACGTTAACCTCTATAAACAGTAGATATGAGTCAGCTGAAAAGGTCTTTAATTAATCCTCTCAATCAGTAAGCTTTTTCTTGTGTAGTTAGGTCTGTCACAGATTTGCATGTATTTTGTATGGACCAAACTACTGGAAGCTCTTTGCAACAACTGGCTTTTCCTTCTGGTGAGGCAACTCGCCTATCTCCATGGCTCTGGTGCTGGAAGCCTGCTCCAGGCCAGACTAATACTACAGTCACACTGGACTTTGGGCAGCAAAAAAAACACCTGCTGCCTTATATTTTTATGTTTTTACATATTAAGGTCAGACGCGCGTCAAGAGCGTCCTTGATGATCCTGAAACGTTTCTAGTTAAGTGTGTCCAGATGCTTGTGCTGCTCCTGTGTTCAACGGGAGAGTGCGGTTTTGCTAGATTTGCTATGATAAGTGGGTAAAAAAGTAGTTTTAATATATATTTTGAAGCTAGAAAGTATTTGGAGTAAAATATTATTTCGCTATCGGAGCCGCTCATAAACCAATGTACCAACAATGTTTCAGGTTTGGCAGAAAGGTCTTTCATAGATTATGTCATGTGTTGAGTAGATCAGAACAATAAAAGTTCAGGCTTGACTTTAAATTTTAATTGTTAAAAGATCATTAACAAGGGACAATTCATTAAAAGCTAACAAAAGTAGCGGGCGGGGTCCTCTTTCTATCCTTGTATAATGATTGGACATTAACTTTGTCACTAGAGTTCAAGTTGTGACAGTTATTCTTGTCTCTCAAGAGTTGTTGGTTCTGAATTATCCCGCCCTAAGCAAATCACTACGTGTTGAAGGAGCAAGTGGGCAGGGAACACTGTTTTAGACACAAAGGCCAGATTGCAACAAATGTGCAGTAAATTTTCAAAACAATGCCCAGAACATCTAGAAAGCACTACAAGACAACTAATATAAAAAAATGATTTTGGGGTTAATTTTCTTTTAAGCATCTTTTATCTAAAGTAAAAACTACACTACGTATACACCCCAAACCTGGATAATGTCATTCCAAACTAATACTGGAATATTTTAAAAACAGTTTCTGTTTTTTTAGAAAGCTTTCCTTTTGA